CCTTCGTACGTACCGGGTCCGGGTCCGTTCCGTTTCGTCGACGCGACGACTCGTCGTTCTTCTTCTTCTCCTCCTCTCCTCCTCTCTCTCTCTCTCTCTCTCTCTCTCTCTCTCTCTCCCTCTCCCCCCCTCTCTCTCTGTGCGTGCTTGTGTGCGCGCGTGTGCGTGGCAGGGAACGGGACAATCAGAAACGAGACCGAGGCGCGGGGTCGATGAATATTACATTGTGCTTGGACTTTGGCCGTCGTCGGGCGCAACTTCTCGCGCGCGCGCTTAGGCGTACAGGTCGTCGTCGCCGGCGTCGTCGTTGCCAAACGCCGCTCCGCCACCCGAGCCGCCGGCACCTCCCGCGCCCGCGTTGCTGCTCGCGCCGCCCTCCTCGGGGAAGCGGAACGAGGTGCCAAAGCTGCGCGCCGACTGCAGGTTCTGCGCAAACAGCTCATACTTGCGGATGTCGCCGTCCGACACCGAGCGGCGCGCAAAGCGCATCGCCTCCTCAAAGTGCTCGCGCGTAATCTCGGGCACCGGGTCCTCCTCTTCGACGGCCCCGGCGGCGGCGGCGCCGGCGTCCTCCTCCATCTTGACCTCGCCGTCCTCGTCCTTCTGGGCGCGCTCGCGCTCGCGCTTGATGTCGGCCTCGATCGACTCGCGGATGGCCAGCTTGGCGGCGCGCTGGCAGATCTCGGCCAGGTCGGCACCCGAGAAGCCGTGCGTGTGCTTGGCGAGGAAGCTGAGGTCGACCTCCTTGGAGATGGGCGACTTCTTGAGCGTCGCCTTGAGAATCGACAGGCGCGAGGGCTCGTCGGGCAGCGGGATGTAGATCAGCTGGTCCAGACGGCCGGGACGCAGGATGGCCGGGTCGATCTGGTCGGGTCGGTTGGTGGCGCCGATGATAAAGACATTCTTCTTCGAGTTGACGCCGTCCATCTCGGTGAGGATCTGGTTGATGACACGGTCACCGGCACCGCCAGCGTCGCCGGCCGAGCCACCGCGCGACTTGGCAATGGCGTCGAGCTCGTCAAAGAACATGACGCAGGGCGCGGCAGCCCGCGCCTTGTCAAAGACGTCGCGCACGTTGGCCTCGGATTCACCGAACCACATGGTGAGCAGCTCGGGACCCTTGATCGAGATGAAGTTGGCCTGGCACTCGTTGGCGATGGCCTTGGCCAGCAGCGTCTTACCGGTACCGGGCGGGCCGTAGAAGAGGACACCCTTGGACGGCGACATGCCGTACTTGAGGAACTTTTCGGGGTGCTCGACGGGGTACGACACCGTCTCCTGCAGCTCCTGCTTGACCTTGTCGAGGCCGCCGATGTCGGACCAGGTGGTGGTGGGCACCTCGACCACCGTCTCGCGCAGCGCCGAGGGGTTCGAGATGCCGAGGGCGAAGCGGAAGTTCTCCATCGTGACGCCCAGCGAGTCGAGCACCTCGGCGTCGATCGTGTCCTCGTCGAGGTCGATGAGGTCCATCTTCTCTCGAATCTGCTGCATGGCGGCCTCGGAGCAGAGGGCGGCGACGTCGGAGCCGACGTAGCCGTGAGTCTCGGCGGCGATCTGCTCGAGGTCGACGTCATCGGCGAGCTTCATGTTCTTGGTGTGGATGCGGAGGATCTCGAGACGGCCAGTCGGGTCGGGGATGCCGATGTCGACCTCGCGGTCAAATCGTCCGAATCGTCGGAGCGCCGGGTCGATCGAGTTGGGGCGGTTGGTGGCGGCCATGACGACGATGTTGGAGCGCGCCTTGAGGCCGTCCATGAGGGTGAGGAGCTGCGACACGACACGACGCTCGACCTCGCCCTGGGTCTTCTCACGCTTCGGCGCGATCGAGTCGATCTCGTCGATAAAGATGATGGCGGGCGAGTTCTTCTCGGCCTCCTCGAACGCCTTGCGCAGGTTCGACTCGGACTCTCCGGCCATCTTGGACATGATCTCGGGACCGTTGATGAGGAAGAAGAAGGCGCCGGTCTCGTTGGCCACCGCCCTCGCCATCAGCGTCTTACCGGTACCGGGCGGGCCGAACATGAGCACGCCGCGCGGGGGCTTGATGCCGATGGCCTTGAAGAGCTGCGGGTGTCGCAGCGGCAGCTCGACCATCTCGCGGATCTGGGCCATCTGCTTGCGGCAACCGCCAATGTCGTCGTAGCCGACGTCGGCAAGGTTGGCCTCCTCGTCCTCGCGCTTGACCGGGTCGCCCTCGGTGTGGATGACGGTATCCTGCGCGACGATGCAGAACTCTGCGGGGTCCGTCTCGATGACCTTGAACTCGACGGCGCGCATACCGCCGCGTACGGTGAACGTGTCGCCCTTGCGGACGGGGCGGTAGGCCTCGAGGAAGTAGGGCTTGAGGTAGACGTCAAAGAGGTTGCCGGTGAGGCCTTCGATGCTGTCGTCAAAGGGCAGCACGTGGATGCGCTTGCCGTACTTGATGTCGTGGCAGGCGTGGACGGTGACGAGGTCGCCCAGCTTGACGCGCAGGTTGTTTCTCGCAACCTTGTTGAGGCGGATCTTGGACTCCTCGGTGTTCTCATCGGTCAGGCAGATGAGGACCGTGTCCCGGCGCTTCTTGCCGCGGATCAGGACTGGTGGAGGTGGGATCAAGAATGAGTGGCGATGGACCGGTCAGACAGGCAGCCGCGAGAGACAGAGACAGCGGTGCGAGCAGCTTCGGAGGACAGGCGCGCGCACTCACTGGTGTCGCCGCGGAAGAGGCCGAGCTCCTCCATCTTTTCGGCAGAGAGGCACGCCACCGAGTTGTCGTCTGTCGTCGACTCCTCGACAAAGAGGCGGTTGGGCGCTGTACAGAGGCGAGCACGGTGAGCAGGAGCAGCACAAAGGCACGTAGGAGGGTCAGCCAAGGACGGTCCTGCAGTCAAGACAAATGAGACTGGGCGCGAGAGGGACGCCACGCCACTCACACTTCTTCTGGCGAAGGATGGCGGTGGCCGTCTCGTCCTTGTTGTCAGCCGGCGGCGCCGGAGCGGCCGGGTTCGAAGGAGCGGGGTCAGACATGGTGGGTGTCGTTCAGACGCTTGCGAGTGGGGCAGAGCGGCGTCGTCGGGGTGGCGTTAGGCCAGTAGGAGAAAGGGAGCAGCTCTTGTGGAGAGCGAATGTGGCGTGGCGAGGCTCGTACGGCTCGATCTATGTCGATGCAGAGAGGGTGCCAGACGGAGGTTGGACCAGGAGTATTGAGTGTACGGCGGAAAAGGTAGTGAAGGGTGGTGGTGGCGGTGGTGGTGGCGGCGAGGAAGGGCGGAAGGTGCCAGAGCGCTGGCAAAGAAGGGGTTTGGCTGGGCTGGCTGGCCTGACCTGCGTGGATGATTGACGTGGAGCGGTGTGGGCCCGGGCTCAGCGCCCCGTCAGCCCGCCCAGGCGCAGCCAGCCTGTGGCCTTCTCTCGTCAGAGTGCGTTTGGGTGCGTTGCGTGTGCGCGTGTTGCGCGGCCTCGATCACTGCCCCTTGCCGCTGCGCCCAAGCCATCAGTCCGCGCCCACGCCCGCAACCCCGGCCAGCAGCCCCGGGCCAGCGCACCGATGTGCATGTGGAGGCGTGCCTCACTTTTTGCGCCCCGGGCCCGAGATCCTCTCGGGCCCTTGGCTCAGAGCCAGCGGCGCCCGGCCGGCGACCCACCCCGCCCCCTTTGTCCCCGCCACCACCACCACCACCAGCAGCTTCCCCGTCGTCGTCGATATCACGCTACTCCCCCCGCTAGCAAGCTTGGAAAATCCAAAGTGGCAATCTGGAAAGGAACCTTTCTCTATCTCGATTGGCGCGATCACGCAGGCAACAGGGGCGAACATCGAGCGCGGTCCAGCCGCATCCTCCTGCGTCTGCAGACCCGTCCGAAAGTGGCCCTCTGCTTGCATCTCCTAGTCTTTCCGATCCGAGCTGTTGAGCGTGTGCATCGGGATCACACCCTTGGCGCTGTTGGCGTGAGAACGGTCGTCGGATCCCAGACCCGTCGCCGCCGTCGTCGTCGCCGCCTTGGCCGCCTCGGCCTGCTTGTTTTTCCCAAACGCGTACACCAGGCCCGCCAGAAAGCCCAGCCCGATGGCGCTCGTGCTGCCCAGCGTCACGGGCGGGTCCTTGAAGAAGACCATGCCGCTCACGGCCAGCGGCAGCTTGTTGAGCGCGCCCACCATGCTGTACGTCGTGCTCGACGTGGCCCGGATGCACCACGCCGTCGTGTAGCTGATAAAGACGGCGCACGCGCCCGAAAAGATAATGGCCGTGATCAGGTTGGTACGCTTGTCGTCGGGAAAGTTGGTGGCAATGTTGGCCGAGCTCCAGTCCTCGACCAGGAACGACATGAGCAGCAGCACGGGGATGCTCAGCAGGTTGTTGTAGTACATCGAATCCCAGTCCTTGAAGCCCGTCACCTTGATCCGCTTCCGCATCGCCAGCACCTGCGGTCGGGCGGGACAGGCACGGCACGGGGCGAAAGAGGGTGCGAGGAGGAAAACGGTCAGTCGGGGAACAAGCCCACACCCCAACAATGCGGCCGAGTTGCGACTCACATAAGCCGCGCTGACGATGCAGTTGCAGAACATCCACACGTAGCCGCTCGAGAGCAGGCCCATCCCGCGGAGACCTTCAAAGACGTCGTTGTCCGAGCCGGAGCTGATCTGCGCCGTGATAGCCTCCTTCTCCTGCTTGAGGACGTCCCAGGCGTGGACGGCGAGGCCAGTCTTGGGGTCGGTGGTGAGGCCGCCGCTGATCGAGTCGGGCGTGTGAGGCATCGAGAGGTCGCTGATGGCGGCCGCCTGCGACACGTCGGACCACGCGGCGACAATCGACGAGACGACCATCAGGAGGAAGCTCGAGAGGATGAGCTTCGTCACCCTGCCGCCGAACCACAGCACCTCGCCATAGGCGATGAGGATGATGGTGAGGTTCTTGAAGATGGTGTAGACCGGGATGTTGAGGTGCTGGATCGCCTTGCTGCCCGTGTAGATGACAAAGACGAGCAGCGTGCTGATGGGCGCCCAGGTCTTTGCGTCCTTGGCGTTGAGGCCGCGCAGCTGGATCCAACCGATCCGCTCGGCCGCCAGCACGCAGGCGACACCGACCGTGGACTGGATCAGCAGCACCAGGAGATTCATGTTGAAGCCCGCTCCGGAGACGGTAAACTTGTTGACCACCGTCATCATGATGCTGGCGCCGCAGTAGCTGAAGATGGGAGCGAGCGAGCCGATGCTGACGCCTCCGTCGCCGTCGTGCTTGAGCGCCTTTGCGCCCAGCCGGACGTCATCGCGGCTGCGGCTGCCGGCGTCGCCGTTGAGGAAGGGTGTCCGATCCGATTCCGATGGGCTCGCCGGCCGCGTGATGTCTGGTGTCTGGGAAGACGAACCCTGAGGCAGATCGAGCCTGGTCTCCTGCGGCGCAAAGAAGGAGCGGCTGCCGGACGCCATGATGAGCGTATCAAGTCTGCTGGGCTGTCTCGAGAGCCAGCTTCAAGGGGGTGACGGAGGCGCAGGCGGCTGTCGCGCAGATGGATTCACGGCCACGGGTTTCGAGAAGACGGCGTGCGTCGGAGTGGGTAGCGAAGCTGTGCTTTCTAGAACGGCGCCATGGAGCGACGATCGAGATGGGCCCCGCGGTTGCTTTCGCGTCGGTCGTGGCCGGGTAGTGAGGGGTCTTGGAGCGATGGCAAGGGAGAGCAGGTCGTGATGCGAGGGCGAGGTCGGGGGATGAGGGTAGCGTGGGGGGAGGTGCGGCTACTCTGACTGCGGAGCGCGGGCCCTCGCTCAGAGGGGCGGCACTCGCCCACCCAACTCACACACAAAAAGATGCCCCCCAAAAAGCAGCGCAAAATTCGGCAGCGAGCTGGGCCCGAGCGTCAGGCAGGTCGCTCGACGCCCTCGACCAGGCCAGGCCTGCCGGGCGGGGCCTGCTTTGCGTTCTTCCCGTCGGCCAGCCGTACGCCGAGCGACCAGCAACGCCGTGTGGCATCGGGCGCTCCACCAGCAGAGAGGCGGGCCGGGTTCCAGGTCCGCTCCCGTAGTAGAGCTAGCCGCCAAGTGGAAGGCACCTCCGTCGCGTCGGTCACCACGGTCCCGCCTCGGCCATCAGGCGGGAGCGTCAGGGGGAGCGAGAGGGTGCCAGGGAGCATCACGCCGAGCGGTGGTCCTGCACAGGGCTCGAATCGGTCGGACTTGGGACGCCCGATGCGAGAAAGGCCTGCTTGGCCAAGGTCAAGGGGGGGGCTCGGGCCCGCTGGCAAAGGCCTCGCTCGGTCTGCCAGCCTGACAGCAAGGCCTCGAGGGACGCCTGCCTGCCAGCTGTCAAAAAAGCCAACCAGAGGGGCTCAGGCCAGCAGGCTAGGCCGGCCACAAGGCAGCTTGACAGCGCATCGTCCAACGAAAAAGAAGTGCCAAAGTGTTGGGCTAGATGTGGCCAACCCTCGCTCCGGACACCAACACTACCATCGTCCTCGCCACCACCACGCACCGACCCGCTCCCCGCCAGGTCATCCTTCACTCCCGCCCTCCTCCGACCGCAAGCCGCCGCACGCAGCCCTGCTCGTTCCCGAAGCACACCGGCGCTGGACAGAAGACCACCACCACCACTTTGACCACCTCGACAGACGCAGCCGCAGCCGCACCACCCTCGACACAGCAGCAGAGCCAGCCCTTGTGCCAAGATGTCGACCCAGAACTTTGACGCAAACAAGGCGCAGAACCTGCCGGAGATTGAGAAGCAGATGGCGGTTCGCTGCGTCGAGCACGCGCAGACCTACTGGAACCTCCTCGAAAAGATCAAGCCCTCGACGCTCCGGCTCACAAAGTACGTCGGCCGTGTCGCCGCTGCCTGCTTCTCAGCGCTCCAGAAAAGCTCATCACCGCTCGCGTCTTCTGCTCTCCACCTTCCGTTCCCCCGCCTCCTGCCGACAGGCTCGACGATGAGATCTACGAGGACTTCCAGACCGAGTTCCCAGAGCTCGCAGAGTCGGCCGACCCCAAGTCGGTGTCCAAGATCGACGAGGACGCGATGAAGAGCCCCGCCGGCAAGGAGAAGTGGAGGAAGTTCATCGGCAAGTACGAGAACAAGGGTGAGTCGCGGCCAGAGGTCCTCCCTGACGTGGGCTGAGCGCTTCTGAGCTCCCAGCCGACTGCGTCGCTCCATCGACGAGTAGAGCTGTTCGCGCGAATAGGTGCTCTGCGCCATCATATCTCCGCGACACCGTGGTGTACGGCCCCGAACTGGACGACCTCTTCTGACACCTGCCTTCCGTGACACCCCACTTCTCTACCTGGGCCGGGGCTCACAGTCGCCGACTTCAACTTTGGAACCCTGATCCGAACCGACGCCTCGGACGAGTACACGCAGTTCAACACCACCTTTGGTGAGGCCATGTCTCTGAATTGGCGCCCGGTCCAGCCTGGGACTTTGCTGAACTCCTCTCGCTTCGCTTCCTGTGCCCACCCACGTCTGCCCTTGCCATCGCAGTCACGCGCATGCAGTTTTACGTCTACGAGATTGCGCGATGCCGACGAGGACTCAACGACTGGATCTATGAAAAGGCGCAGAAAGAGGCCGCCAAGGAGGCTGCGCAGAAGAAGTGATGCTCTTGCCTTCTAGTGGTCCGATGAATCGGCAGCATACTCGGGAGGCACCACTCGGACCCGTCGTGGATCTGGCAAGCGTAGGACTGGTGCTTAGAATACGAGAGAAATGGCAGTCGACGACCTGTCCCGTGCGCATCGTTCCGGCGGCCCCTTGACCGGCTCAAGGTAAGACCGAGATTCGGGCCAATGCCTGTCTCGCAGCCATTCTCTGTGTGATGGTCAGAATGCCATCCGGAGTTCACCTTGTCAGGCGCAGAGGCACGGGCCTGTGTGCTTGTGGGCAAGCATATGGGGCCGTCGTTGGTAACTGGTGCGTTCGAGGCCTGCCTCACACGCACGAGAGGCGGGCCAGGTGGAGCAATGTGGGACCGCGGGAGTCGGCCGGCAGAGTCGGGCGCGACCGGCGTCTTCGGGTTGGACAGGCTTGGCTTCCCCACAGAAGGCCTCTCGCTTGGACTCGCTCGACGTGGAAGCCCGAAGCGGGCGCCCGACGAAGCGAGGCGAGGCGAAGCGAAGCGCAGGCGGTAGGCGGCAGGCGGCAGGCGGAGCTACCGGTAGGCTAGGGCTGCCTGCCTGCGGCTCGAGTCAGTCGACGGCGCTGGCCCGCCTTCGGTCAGCCAGCCAGCCATCCAGCCAGCCAGCCAGCCATCCAGCCAGCCAGCCAGCCAGCCAGCCTGCTTAGCTTCTGTGCGTGACTGCGGGGCGAGCGGGCGCCGGGTCGGTCGGGAGACCCGGTCCAGCTGGCTGGCCTGGCCCTGCCCAGGCTCTAATTTGGCTGAAAGCCCGCTGGGCCGGTGGAAGCAGGCCAGCAGCAGGGCGCAGCCGGAGGAGGTGAGTTGCCGGGATCCCCGCACTACTCTGAGTGCACGAGTCACCGCGCTCGACCCTACCTGACTTGGTCAGGTCAGGCCAGGCAGGCCAGGTCAGGCCAGGCCAGGCTGGCTGGCCCGTCCGGCCATTCCGATCCCCACCGCCGCCTTGACTTGCTCTGCCCCGCCCTTCAACCTTCCTCTTTCAACCATCCTCTCTATCCTCTTTTACATAACAGCCTCACCTTCGAGCCCCACACCACGGTACAACCCTTGCTCCCCCTCTTCCACCTGCTCCATCGCCATTGCTCGCCCCACCATGCTAAAGCCAGCTTCCACCGCCCACATAACAAGAGCCACATTCTCGAGATCCCTTCCGGCACTCCACGCCACCATCACAACCGCCGCGGCCCGCACCATGAAGCCCCCTTCCACGCTCCTCTCTCAAGCCGCGGGCGCATCTTCGCGGCGGCACCTCAGCCATACGCCCATCGCGGCTGCCGTCACCGCCGCCGCATCCTCCTCGTCGAGCGCCGCCTCGCCGTCGTGCCCTGCCTCATCATCGTCGAGCGCCGCTTCGACCTTCAACGGCTGCCTCCGTCCCCTTCCAGCCAGCCAACTCGCATCGCCCTCGAGATGCGCCTCGATCTCGCAGCCGCAGACCTTCTCCGCCCTTCTCCGTTCCCACCCAGGCCCCAGTCGTGGCGCCACCCTCATCCTCTCCAATCGCAGCTTCTCCTCGTCTTCCTCGTCGAAAAGACCACACGCCGAGCAGCGCGGTCCAAGAGCTGCCACGCTCGCCGCCGCCCCGCCTTACGGCCGCATCGCAGCTGCCATCGCAGCCCTCAGCATCGCAGCAAACCTCTACCTCCTCTCCAACCCATCCTCTCCACCTTCCTCTGCGAGATCCAACAACGCCGGCGCCTACCTCTACGCCAACCCGACGCTCAAGCACGAGTACGGATCCGCCGCTGACTTCACCAGGGGCATCCAAGACCTCAAGGCCTACTTTGCCAAGGAGACCGGCGGCGCATGGCAAGATCACGTCAGCCAGGACGACGACGAGCTCGAGAGAAAGGGCTACGACGAGAACGGGCACCGCGTCGACTCGGAGGGCATGCGTCCCAGCGTCGTCGTCTGGCCCCGCCACACCGAAGACGTCGTCGAGATTGTCAAGGTGAGTTGAGCCTGGTCTGTCCTCTCTCGTCTCCGCGCTTGTGGCCGCTGCTCGGACATCGATATGGGCCGGGAGCAGCAGGCTCACACGCCATGCCCCTCCCTCCCACTCTCCTTGCACGTCGGTCGATCGCCGGGCAGTTTATCGCCATCGACGCCAGCCTCTGAATGTCGATGATGGCGGTCCGCATAGCGGATCAGGCCTAGCCGCACCGACGCGCATCGAGCTTGCGCTCACCTGTATTTGTACCGGAGCAATCTTATATCCCCCACTACGCGCCTCTTCACTGCTGTGCCCGGGATTGACCTGGCGTGGCGTGCGATTTCTGGTCCCGGTGTCTGGTGGCGACCCGCGGCAGCCTACTTACACTCGTGCCGATGCCCCCGTGCCGACCGCCGCCGCAGATCGCAAACAGGTACAAGATGCCGCTGGTGCCCTTCAGCGGAGGCACGTCGCTCGAGGGTCACTACACGGCGCCGTTTGCGGGCATCTCGATCGACATGTCGCGGATGAACAAGATCCTCGCCTTCCACCCGGAGGACGGCGACATTGTGGTCCAGTCCGGCATCGGCTGGGAGGCGATCAACTCCTTTCTCGCTGCCGAGGGGCACTCGCTCTTCTTCCCGCTCGACCCGGGCCCTGGCGCCACGATCGGGGGCATGATCGGCACCGGCTGTTCCGGCACCAATGCGGTGCGGTACGGAACGGCGAGGGGCGAGCACTTCCTCAATATGCAGGTCGTCCTGCCCAACGGCGAGGTCATCGACACGCGCGGCGGCAGGAGGGCGCGCAAGTCGAGCGCCGGCTTTGACCTGGGCCGCATCCTGGTCGGCGCCGAGGGGACGCTGGGGATCGTGACGCAGGCGACGCTCAAGCTGCAGCCGCGCCAGCCGGCCAGCGGCGTGGCGTGCGCCACGTTTGACAATGTCGAGATGGCGACGCGCGCCGTCAACGAGATCCTGCTGCGCGGCGTGCCCGTCCAGTGCATCGAGCTGCTCGACAACGAAATGATGCGCGCCATCAACGCCAGCAACCTCTGCGGCCGGAGCTACGACGAGCGCGACAGCCTCTTCTTCAAGCTGAGCGGCGGCCAGCGCGCCGTCGAAGAGGCAAAGGCCATGATCACCGAGGCCAGCCTCAAGCACGGCGCCAAGAAAGAGAGCATCGAGTTTGAGGTCGACCCGAAAAAGGCTGACCAGATATGGCAGGGCCGCAAAGAGGCGCTGTGGGCCGTCACTGCGCGGTGCCAGAAGGACAGCGAACGGGTGTGGACGACGGACGTTTGGTGAGTCGACCCGGTGTCGTGGCGGTGGCGATCGACGGGGAAGCACCGCGAGCTGACCGTCGGGACCACACTGCCACTCTGCTGCGCCTCGACCACAGCGTCCCGATCTCGGCCCTGCCACGGCTGGTCCGCGAGACGCAGGCCGACCTGCGCTCGGTGGGCCTCACGTCGTCGTGCGTAGTCGGCCATGCGGGCGACGGCAACTTCCACGGCCTGATCCCCTTTGACACGGCCGATCCCGAGTCGGTCAAGGCGGCGACCGAGGCGGTGCGGCGCATGTGCCTGCGCGCCCAGGACCTCGACGGCAGCGTCAGCGGCGAGCACGGCATCGGCAGCGGCAAGGTTGAGTTTCTCGAGCGCGAGCTGGGCGCCGGCACCATCCGGCTCATGAAGGCCGTCAAGCTCCTCCTCGACCCGCACAACCTCATGAACCCGGGCAAGCTCTACCCAGAGTGATGCCGCCCCGAGCCCGCCGGGGTGAAGAGGGCCGCTCGGCCAGCGTGGCAAGACCACCGCCGAAAGATGACGATGCAGAAGGATATGCTGAGGTTGCATTGCATTGCATTCTTGCGCTGCGGCCGCTCGAACCAGGAGGGCCTGCAGGTGTGAAACGGCGATGGCGATGATGTAGCGGGTATAAAAGCAGGTGCTAAGCAAGTACACGCGATCGAAGGCGAAGAAAGAGAGCGACGTTTGTTGGTACAGAGATGGTGCGGGCGGGCGGGCGAAGAGGGCAGCGAGCAGGGGATAGGATCGCGAGCCAGCCGCGGAAGCTGCGAGAGAGGCGTGGCGCTCGTCGGGGGCTCAGCGGCCGGTCGAGAGGGCCTCGGCCTTTTGGGCCGAGTAGCTCCTCCAGTCGGCGGCGCGCGCCTCGACGTAGGCGAGCATGGCGTCAAAGTCGCGCTCGCCCTCGTACTCTTCGAAGCGGACGCCGTCGGCCCAGAGAAAGATTGAGGGGAAGCCGGGGATTTGCTGCTCCCCGCACAGGTCGCCCTGGGTGATGCAGTTGACGCGCGTGAAGCGGAAGTCGTGCGAGTCGGCCAGGTGCTCCTCGTACTCGGCCAGGTCCTGCCAGACGGGCGCGAACTTCTTGCAGTGCTTGCAGTAGGGAGAGTAGAACTCGACGAGCCTGGCGGTTGCGGGGCAGGGGGACAGGTTGCGCGGTCCAGGTGAGCGATCGGTGGGCAGGAGCAAAAGGGGGCGGCCGGGATCAGAGGCAGGCTGCTGCTTGGGCTATGTACTCACCACATGCCCTTGCTGAGGGTCGAGGTGAAGTTGGACGATGTCAGGCTGGCGAGGTTGGGGTTGTTGATGTCGCCAAACTCCCACTTCTTGGCCTCGGCGGTCGATGCGCCGAGGGCGACGAGGCAGGCCAGGCCGAGCAAGAGGAGCGACAGGGTGCGCCGGAGCATGATCGGGGACGTGCTGTTCGATGCGGGGTGTGCCAACGGCGAAGTTGCTGAGCGCTTTGAGTCCGAGAAGACGGAGCAAAGGTCACGCGGGTCGGGCGAGGTGGTAGAGAGGTTGCCGGGGGGGCAGACGAAGTCGAAGATGTCGGAGCGCTGAAGAGAGTGTAGGAGCGATGGCGAGGCGGCGCGAGAGGAGAAGAGATCAAGGAGTGTCTGTCGATTGAGAGCGGGAAAAAGGACGGAGGATGAGGGCAAAGGGGGGCAGCGAAACCGAAGATGGGCCGAGAGAGGGGGAGGGGCGCGGAGGGACGGGCGGGGACTCGGCGGCGACGAAGGGATGGTGGTGGTGGTGTTTATCAAGTTGAAACGAGCAACGCCCCGGTCGATGGCGACGACGACGGCGGCGGCGAGGGTGCGTGGGCGGTTGCGCGCCGGCTCGACGACCAGTGGGCATCTCTCCTACAACGTACTCGACCCGTTCGACACGGGCGCCACCGACCGGTGCCAAGAAGTCAGGCCGGCCTGGCCTGGCAGCAAGCTGTAGGGCATGTGGGCCAGGCCGGCAAAGTCGATGACGGCGCCAGAAGACGGACCGAAAAGAAGGATCGACGGACCTTGATTGTCTCCGTGCATCTGTCACTTTGCTTCAGCCCAGCTCAGTAGTGCGTCCCAGGCAGCTGGCGAGGCAGCGAGGCAGCGAGTACGAGTACGGCAGCCACGCATTTTTTCAGGAACGAGCCAGCGGTCGCCGCCCTGGCATTCTTGCCAAGAAGCAGCTGGTTGGCCATGCTTGCTGCCTGCCTGCCTCCTATCCCCTTTGCCCGAACCGCCACCGACACTCGACGGTGGCGAAGGAATGCCGTTGGCGGCCTCGGTGATGCAGTTTGAGCGTCGACCTCGTAGGGTGGAAGACCATTCTGGACCGCGCTCAGGCCTGGCCCGTATTGTGCGACCAGACCCTCTCCGAAGTTGGCATAGCAGGTGCAGAGTAGTGCGTCGTACGACCAAAGGGCCGACGAGATCCGACCATTAATTGCTGCTCCGACGACTTCATCTGGACCTGAGAGCCGCTTCGTTATACGCCCATCGTTGGCCACCTGGCGTTCCCCGGTTTGACCTCACCTTCCCCGCGAGACCGCGCATTCAAGTCCGCTTCGCCTGCTCACGCACGGGAAGCCACTCTGGCAGCACATACAGATACCAAGACCACTACGACTCTGGCGGAGCCGGTCCCCGTCGGTCGAAGCGTGTCTCGTCGACGTCGGGACGCTTTGCGGCTCAGCAAAGTGCGCGCGTCGCACAGCCCGTTATCGCACCATGACTGATCCTTTGGCTCGACGACCTAAGGATTCTACCTGCCTGCCTCTAGCAGATGCGTTGGAGACGGGACGCCATGTACACGGCCTGCCATCCCGGCCCTGGATCGTCGAAGCGAAACGTCACGCCGGCTCACCGCGAGCTGCAAGGGGCTCCGCGATCGGAGGCTGGCAAAGCATGTGGCATATCCGCCTCGCCTTGCCTCGTCTCAGCTCGCCCCTACATCCGGCAGCCCGATCCGAGTTGTCTGCTCCTTCGGACCTTGCCTCGCGAGCAACAAGCGTCTCATCTTCCGGACCTTCGGCCGGCAGCATGCTCCGCCCGTGACCAGGTAGCAGGCTCGGTCAATAACAACTCGCCGCTTCATTGCACGCTTGTTGGACTGGTCCACTACGTTCGATTGCGTCAGGTCTTCGACAGCACGAGGCACCGTTATTGAGGGATGGGTTCGCAGTTGATGTGGGTCTTGGCTGGGTCCTGGGGCAATGCACAGAAAAAGTTGAGGCTCTGCATCGTCGAAAAGAGGTGGCGCGCTGTTGGGCGGCAAGAGCGGGGCGAGGACGGCATCGTCAGCAGGCGAAAACGCAGCCGGGCGGGCGCTCAACACCTTGGTGCTGGTCGGCAGCTCACCTTCAAGGGCGATTTCAGTGCAGGTTAATTGGCCGTTGGCCTGCTTGGCGCAAAGGACCGACTTGCCGCTTCCGCGCTCGCTGCGGGTGGGAAGGTTGGTCGTTGTTGCGATGATGTGGTGCGGAATGGAATAGGTAAGCCTGACTGTAGAGAGCGCTGCAGAGTCGACCACGCCACCTTCCCTCCGCGGCGAGGCAGATTGGATTGGTGCTGCGCGCAAGCTGAGGAAGCGTGACCTGGACACCGTCGTGCGCACACACTCACCCATCGAGAGTGAACTTTGACGAAGGATGGGTCTGGACAAAGGACTTTACGTCGCGGTGCGCGGGCGAGTCGAGGCGGTCGATGAGGTTCGAGGATCGTGCGGACCTGGGATGTTGCGGGGGCGGGGGTGCGTGTGAGCAGGGCAGGGGCAAAGGCGAGACCGTTCGATCAGACGTGATGCGACCATGTGCAAAGAGAGCATTAGCATGCTGGTGCACTCACATTGTTGCTGCTGTTGTGCTGTGTTGGATGCTCGTTGTAGGTGGCGTGCTATGGAGCAGAGAGAAGGAGGGGGAAGGGGGGTGTGGTGAGCGGGCGTGCAGAATGTTGCGGGTGCCGGTTACCCCAGCACCACCTCCACAAGTTGGGTGACCTCACAAAAGCGCGGCCACGGTGATCGTCCGCGCAGCGCTCGCCCCCGATTCGAAAAGCCAGGTGCCCGATGCCAAAATGAGCGAGCCAGCCAGCCAGACAACCTGCCAACTTTTTTTTGGCTGGCTGCACGCCCATTTCCGGCCCCCACGGCCCCACGGCCAAAATTTCAAAGAAACTTCCCAAGGGGCCGGCTGGCAGGGTTGGCTGAGCCACCCGCTCTCGCCACCTCCAACTACTGCTCTCGACTCGGGCTGCTCGGATCGCCGCCACTGTTGCCACTACCACCAACCACCACGGGCCACCGCCGCCTACCTATCTCTCTTCAACTCAACCCCGCCTCGGCCCGTATACCCCCCTCCGCTTCGCAAGCCAGAGCGTCGTTCGAGGAGCGCACAGCGGCGATTCTCTCCAACTCTTCCCTCTCTCTTGAACCTCGCCACCACTTCCGACCCCTCTGCACCGTCCAGCCTGCTGCACAACATGGAGTACCACGCCCCCGCAGCGCAGCACATGGTGCTCTGCGCAGACTGCGGCACCCCCATCACGCCCAACAGCGCCAACCTCTGCCTCTCGTGCCTCCGCAACAGCGTCGATATCACCGAGTCGATCCCAAAGCAGGCCACCGTCAACTTTTGCCGAAACTGCGAGCGCTACCTCAACCCGCCCATCAGCTGGGTCTCGGCACAGCTCGAGTCCAGAGAGCTCCTCGCCATCTGTCTCAAGAAGCTAAAGGGCCTCAACAAGGTCCGCCTCATCGACGCCGGCTTCATCTGGACCGAACCGCACAGCAAGCGGCTCCGCGTCAAGCTGACGGTCCAGAAGGAGGTCTTCACCTCGACCATCCTCCAGCAGATCTTTGAGGTCGAGTACGTGGTCCAGTACGGCCAGTGTCCGGACTGCACCCGCCTCGCCGCCAAGAACACGTGGCGCGCCATGGTCCAGGTCCGCCAAAAGGTGGCTCACAAGCGCACCTTCCTCTACCTCGAGCAGCTCATCCTCAAGCACAACGCCCACCGCGACACGATCAACATCGCAGAGCGCAAGGACGGCCTCGACTTTTTCTACACCCAGCGCGCCCACGCCATCAAGATGGTCGAGTTTCTCTCGTCGGTGGTGCCCATCCGCACCACAAAGTCGGAGCAGGTCATCAGCATGGACGTCCACACCTCGTCGACCAACTACAAGTTCACCTACAGCGTCGAGATCGCGCCCATCTGCAAGGACGAGCTCGTGTGCCTGCCCGCCAAGACGGCCAAGCAGCTCGGCAACATCGGCCAGCTCGTCCTCTGCTACAAGGTGACCAACTCGCTCCGCTTCATCGACCCGGCCACGCTCCAGATGGCCGAGATCCCGGCGGAAAAGTACTGGCGCGACCCCTTCCCCTCGCTCGCTGCCATCCCCGAGATGGTCGAGTTCCTGGTGCTCGACATTGAGCCGACGGGGCAGTACGCCACCAATTCGCACGGCGGCCAGAACCGAAAGTACGAGGAGGCGGATGCGCAGGTGTCGCCGCTCAACGCCGGCACGTTTGGCGAGGCGGACGCCGTCTACCACACGCGCACCCACCTCGGCTCGATCCTGCAGCCGGGCGACACGGTGATGGGCTACCACCTGCGCGTGGCCAACTTCAACTCGGAGACGTGGGACTCGATGCCGTCGGACCGCAAGCCCGACGTGGTGCTGGTCAAGAAGTCGTACCCGGAGCGCAAGAAGCGGTCCAAGAACCGCACGTGGAAGCTCAAGAGCATGGCCAAGGAGGCCGAGGACCCGGCCGTCGAGGGCGCCGTGGGGCGCGGCGCTCTGGGACGGAGGGGAGGGTTGGACTCGCAGCGCGTCGAAAAGGACTACGAGCTCTTCCTGCGCGAGCTCGAGGAGGACGAGGAGATGCGCCAGAACATCAACCTCTACCGCGACCCGAAGAAGGAGGAAGAGGCCAGGATGAAGAAGCAGCGCCTCGCCGAGCTCAAGGCGGCCAAGCTCGCCGCCCTCGCCGCCGGAGAGGAGCTCATGGACGACGCAGAGACCGACGACGGCATGACGACCGACGGCGAGAGCGAGTTTGGCGACGACGACGCGCCGCGCGTCCGCATCGACGAGCTCCTCGACGACCTCGAGGAGATGAACATCGAGGATGCACAGTAGTCGACTCGGGCCCGGAGGCCCGGGCAGACGTGGCGGTACCGTGGCGGCACTCGTCCCTCTCGCCATTCAACCATTGCATCTCCGGCCATTGCCTTCTCGTTTCTCAGGGCCGCGTCTGCCCGCCTGCCTGCCGGTCTGCCGGTCTTGCTGTGTGGCTGAGGAAGCACGACTTGGATCGAGCAATTGCAGCGAGGATGATGGAGATGGAGCTATTCTACACATGGGGGGAAACTGGAGCGACCGCGGTGACTGCTGACGGGCTTCTGGGCGTAACGAGACGGGAACGGGAGGCAACGACGGAGCACGGAAACGAAGGGCGTGCGGTGACAAAACAACACGAAGACGAGCGAGCGAGCGAGCGTTCGGGTTGCTGAGGAAGGCAGGCGACCTGGGCCGGCACTTTGGGCCAACACGGCCATCGCGATCCTCGAGCGCGCTGAAGAGAAACGTTAGACGGCGACATCAAGCCGCATAAGCCCATCGCTGGCCCGTCGAGAGCGGCTTCTCCTCGAGGTGGCCAATCTCGGACTCGATGCCGACGTCCTCCTCTCCGCGCTCGGCGGGCGTGAGGTCGTCGAAGGGATGCCAGGTGGCCGTCTTGTCGAGCTTGTACTTTCTCTTCTCGTCGTGCGTCAGGGGCATGTGGGACGTGGAGCCCAGGGCCTCGAGGGGCACGCTGTGGCCGGCGTGGAGCGCGGCGGCGCGCTCGGCGTCGTACTTGCGCCCCACGGCGCCAATCTTGCCGATGGTCTCAAACGCGGTGAGGAAGGCGAGGAGCGAGACGTAGATGCCCAGCAGGTACAGGGCGTTCCACTCGTCCTGCGCCGCGGGGATGGCGGCCATGGCGGCGGCGATGAGGAAGCGCATCGAGAGGCGCATCCAGCGCGGTACGAGGTTGGAGCCGTGGATGTCGAGGTTGCGGTGCAGCAACCCGATGACGCCGATGCACAGCATGACGCACGAGAGCGAGCCGCCAAAGTACCACACCTTGCCGCCGTGGATGGGGCCCGCCGAAGTGACGAGCGTCGAGAGCGAGGCGGCCATCAGGATCAGCGACGCCGTGAGCGGGAAGTGCAGGTGGCCAAACGTGATCGAGGTGAAGCTGTTGCGGCGTAGGGCGTGCTGAAAGACGCGGCAGCCGTCGGCGTCGTAGTAGAGCCAGATGATAAAGAAGCTGATAGCGATGCCGAGCGCGGCGCGTCCAAACTCGGCGTTGAGGCCAAAGGTGCCGTCCGAGGCGACAAAGTTGCTCGAGATGATCGACTCGCCGACGATGAGGATGACAAAGAGCACGTAGCGCTCAATCGAGTGCTCGTGCGAGAGCGCCGGGATAAACATGTGGTTGCCCGTCCGCTTCTTGCGGCCGTGGAAGGCCATCATGGCGCCGGCCACGACGTAGCTCTGCAGCAGCTCGGCCAGGATGCCGACGCACATGGCGATGACGATGATGACTGGGTCGTAGGAGAGCAGCACGGGGAGGTAGATGCAGGTGATGAGCGCCATGGCCAGGCCGTTGAGCCAGAGCGCCGCGCGGAACTTGGGCAGCGAGAGGCCGTAGTAGAAATAGATGCCGACCCGCCAGAGCTTGGCGACCATGAAAAAGGCGATCGCCGAGCCGATGGCCTTGTGGTAGCTCTCGGTGAACCAGTAGTTGTTGACCAGCTCGACGCCCAGGCGCACCTCCTCGGAAGAGCCACCTCCGCCTCCAGACCTCTTGAGGAGCGAGGCGGCGAGTCCGAGGGCACGGCGGTGGGGCTCGGCAGCCCCGCCACCAACCTCCTCGGTCACGGGTCCGACTTCGGCGCCTGTGCTCTCGGCGTAGAGCGCGAGCATCTCGGGCGTTGCCACGACGACCTCCAGGCCAGAGACGTTGGCGCAGTAGCCGCAGAGCAGGATCATCCAGCCGAGCAGGATGATCCTCTCGAGAACGTCGTCGGTGCCGCTGGTGTTGAGGAACCTGAGGGGAGCAGGAAGGATATCGAGCGTTGCCTCCGTGTCAGCGCTCTGGTGGCTCCGCACGACGCCCCCGCCATTCCGCTGCCACACTCACTTTCGCACGTCTGTCCAGATGGAAAAGCAAGGCCAAAAGGAGAGGACGAACTTGACGACGTTGATCGCGGAGCTGCTCTCGGCAGTCGCGTGTCCGATGCCGTTGACGACGGCGACAAAGATGAGGTCGAAGAAGAGCTCGTACTGGCTTGGCTTGCGCTCGTCCTTTTCGCGATACAGATTACCGGCGTAAAGCCACTGCCTGATGACGGGGCGCTTGACGAGGTGACGGAAGTTGACGGGGACGTCCTCGCCGTGCTCCTTGATGTGCGGGCCCGATCGCTTGCCACGGGCATGGACCATGTCAAACAGGCTGCCGGACCTCTCGTGACCGTGGCCGTGACCGTGGCCGTGGCCGTGGCCGTGGCTGTCGATGGCGCTGCTCGCCCTGTTGTGGCCTTCCGCCTTGACTTCGTGCTCGCCCGTCTGCGAGCTCATCTTGGACAGGGGAATCGAGCCGAGTGCCTGACCGACGGGTCGCGTGTCCCACTGTTCGCTGGAGCGGGCGCTCTGGGAGGCGCGGTGAGAATAGGGGTGAGGTCGTTGGTGGTAGCTGTGCTGGTGGTCGGGGTCATGGAGCTGCTCGGTCGTCTCGACGGGGCGCCAGCCTCCGGACTGGGTCCTTAAGTGGGACGAGCCGTGCTCCTCCGGGTAGCGAGTGCCAAAGGGGCCGTAGAGGTTGGGGTCGATGACCTCGCGCTCCTCTTCGTCCTGTTGGAGGAGGATCTGGGCGTTGTCGCGGTCGTCGTCGCCGTCGTCATTGCGCCTGGCGGCGGGAGTGGGGGAAGCGAAGCGACTATGAAAGTTGGCCGACATGACGGCGGAGGGCAGCCCAATGATGGCTCGTACTCAGGCAAGCGGCTTTGTGCGCGGTGCAGAACGAATCGAGGAGCCGTGGGGACGTGTTGCGATAGGCCGTGGGTCGGGAAGCCGTGTGCGATGGCGATGCGGGCGGCAGCGATGCGAAGACGAGACGGGAAACGATGCGAGCAGAGGAAGGGGATCTCAAAATGACCGAGAGAAGGGAGCCTAGTAGGCAGGGTCTGCTCCGATGGGGTTGCTAAGTTGGGAAGAGACAGAGTAGGGCAAAGGCGTTTCCTGCGCGAACGATGACGTTCACGCTCGCATGGATACGAGATCTGAAGGTCGGTTGCGGTGCGAATGAGCGAACGAGGTGGTGCCCAGATCGAGATGGCCACCCGTCCAGACGGCGTGCCAAATGGTGCTATGCGCGAGAAGCCTGATACAGTAGTAGTAGTCTGTGTGTCGTCGGGAGATTCAGAGTCGGTGATGGTCGTGGTGGTGGGTCAGAGACGAGCGACGACCCCCCTTCCCGAGGAACGACGACCAAGCAAGGGCCGGGGACCTAGCAAGCCAGGCCAGACTAGGTCCAGCCTCGGAGCCACGGTGGGAGGTGATTCGTGAGGCGGTGCGGTGCATTTCGGGTGCTGGCCTCCGCCCAGCGTAGGGCCAAGCAAGCAAGGCTGCTTAACCGTTCGTGAATGCGGGGAGCTGCAGACTGCGAGCATATATGCATCGATGTGATATGTCAAAGCAACGGGACGCCCCGTCGCGCTGTGATCACATCCTCATCGCCCCTAGCCCTAGCCTGGCCTAGCCTAGCCTAGCCTCGGTCGTCCGGCAGCGTCGAGGCGTGGTTCGCTCGGGAAAGGGGGCGCGGCGGCCTCTCGGAAGTTTCCAGGGGTCGGGGGGCCCAGCGAGGTAGGGGAGACTCGGTCATGCCGAACCAACACGGACCGCCGCCAACACCGCCGCCCCCGCCCGCGCCGCCGCTTGCCAGCACAGCAGCAAGAAGCAGCAGCAGCAAAGCAGCGCGCCGCCGGCGTCGCCGCCCTGTTTCGCCTTGATTATTGCGCCGTCGGCTTGGCGCTAAAAATAGGCCGGTCCAGGGCGCGTTGGACACAACCCCTCGTCTTTCTGTATGTACAAGAGCACTGGATCGCAGCCTGCGCGGCCGGGCCGAGCCGCTACAGACCTGTAGCACGATGATGGCGAACAAGGCGCGAGTTCCCTGTTCCTGGCGCTTCAGCCCGCAGAGGTCGAGCAACTCCATGCGGCGGGTCAGGTCAGGTCAGGTCAGGTCAGGTTAGGTCAGTTCAGGTCGACCACGTTTCGACGACGGGTGCCCCTGAACCCACTCGCTCGCTCGCTCGCTCCGGCCGTGACGCTGTGATGACGGATCGAGGTCCAATCCAGTCCAAGCGCCGTAGCGTTCGCCATGCGATGGTCCGGGAGGAACAAATGAATACAGGTGAGGCATAGGCAGTAGGGCAAGGGAGCGTATTAAGGTGTGGTTGGATAAGTAACGGGTGACCGACAGGTGACAACTACTATAAGATGAGGGGGTCCGGGTACGAGAGCAGGGCGGGCGGTAGCATCGAAGCAGGCGGGGCCGCCAACGAGGGCGCCCCAGAGCAGGGCAACGGGCGCGGACGGGAAGGTATCGGCACATGTGATCGTCGCTGCGCTGGCCTTACCAGCGTCGAGCGGCGGCGGAGGCGACGACCTTGGACTTGGGCACCTGTTGTTGGCCCTCCTCGTAGTCATCCTCCTCCTCCTCCTCTTCCTCCTCGAGGTGGGCCGACAGGCCATAGTTGGGGCGGTAGCCGCCGAAGCCGTAGAGGCTGCCCATGCTGGGGCTGGCAAAGGTAGAGCTGCGCGACGAGCTGGGCGAGATCGTCGGTGAGGCCGTGGCCGACTCGCTCAGCGTGCCGGTCGAGAGCGACCTCGACACCGACGTCTTGGTGGCTCCGCCGACACCGTCGGGGCTGCGCAGCCGAGGCGTCCACACCATCGTCGGCGTGTTGGCGGTGTCCGACTGGCCGTCAAAGGTGGGCTCGGTGTCGCTGTCGGAATCGGCCGCCTGCATCTGCCCGAGGGAAGAGGGGGCGGGACCGAACCCGGCCTCTGCGTCGGCATCGCCGAGGCGCTCCTTGTAGAAGCGTCCTGAGGGCTGACGCGAGAGCGAGTCGTAGACGTCGAGTTCCATCAGGAAGCTGCCGGCCATCGACGAGTCGCTGGCACGTTCGACGTCGTTCGAGACGCCGCGCGACATGCGCGAAGACACCGAGCCGCGGGCTTCGGCCAAAGCCGGGTCTCGCACGTCGCTGGCCCGCGTCTTGACCTCTTCGCTTGCCCTCCAACTGCCTTCGAACTCGATCGAGTCGATCGAGTCGGCCTCGCTGGTGGATCGATGGCTGCGCACCGACTCGGGCGCCTCGGGCATCTCGCGGCCAGCTGGCAAAGCACGGGGAAGATGGTCGACTTCGTGGACCTGGCGCCTGTCTCGTTGTTGCTCGGCGAAGGCGCCAGCCTTTGCGTCCTTCATGGCTGCAATCGGCGGGACTGACTGGCTCCGGTCCTTGACACCGCCGGCAAGGTTGCCGCCCGACTGGCTCTGTCGGAGAAGGATCTGCGACTTGAAGCTTGACAGCGGCGTCGACGACCTCGTGGCCGCCTTGGAGTGCTGGACGGCATTCTGTGACAGGACTCGGTCGGATAGCGGCTTCGACAGAGACGCGGCAGCCGCAGGCAGGCCCGACGAGACCGATGAGATCGATGAGGCCTTGGAGTCGTGCGTGCGCCCATCCTTGCTCGCAAACGTGTCTGAGCTGAGCAAGGGCGAGGACCTCGGCGAGGAGGCAACGCGCGGCGTGTCCAACGCATCGTTCGAAGGGCTCGCGCTCAGGTAGTCCAGCCCGCGACCGCGCCCAAGCCCAGCCTCGATGGCCTTGGCCGGCGGGGGCAGCGGCGTCGAGGTCTGTGACCGGTCGATGCCCGAGTAGAAAGACATGTTGCTCGACTCTGTCGACGGCGCCCGCGCCGAGCTGTACGAGTCAACGTTGCGGGACTCGTACGAGATTTTGCGCATGATCGACAGCGAGCGTCCGTGGTCGCGACCGGAGGCAAAGGTGTGCGAGAGGTCGGCCATACTGTCGGCGCTGGGCAGCGACACTTGCGATCGGCTGCTCTTGAGACGACTGCCGGGGAAGCGGCCCCAGAGCGAAGGACGGGCAGGCTTGTTGCCAGCCTGCAAGGCGCTCAGCGAGCCAGACGTCGACGAGGCGGAGCCCAACGAGGAGAGCGTGGCTACCGTGCCCGTCTTGGCGGCCAGCGCCTGCGCCTCCCTCTTGGCTTCCTTCTTCTGCTTGGAACGCCCAAAAGAGCGGCCGGTGCCGTTCCTGTTGCCTCCGGCCAACGTCGCAAGCCTGGCTGCGGCCTCGGCGGCCGACGGCGGCGGCTTTGGCGACTTGAGAGAGAGGTCGCAACCCGCCTGAGCCAGGATCCTGGGCACGTCGAGATGGCCATCGGCCGTCGTCATGCGATGGGTAAAGGTGCACTGCAGGCCGGGCCCGAGGATGAACTCGCCACCGAGCAGCTTCATGTCTCCGGGGCTGCGGATCGGCATGTCAAAGAGGCCCTTTTTGATGGCGATCAGGATACCCTTGGTCATGCCGAGCTGGGCGTAGTCGGGCCTTGCGCAGGCTGGCGAGGCAGGCGCGACGAAACAGAGAGAAGAAGAGAGAGGGAGAGAAACGGATGGTCAGTCAGGCGCCGGCTTGGCTGCCACCACCAATATGCTCGCGGCACTCACCGGGACTGGCCTCGTTTGTGCGCATCGTCATGCCAAGAGCGCGGTAGATGTTGCGCTTCGGGTCGGCGTACAGCCGGTAGGGCACCTCCATCACCTGCTTGTACGCCTTCATGATCTGCCAGTCGCCCTGGCCGACGACGACGAGCTCCATGTTGGCCGCCTTGAGGGGCATCGGGTCGATCTTCTTGAGGGACATGGCAAATTGCTGGCAGAAGCCGCACCACCAGTGCCTGAGGAAGCAGACCAGCGTCCTCCGCGCCTTGAACAGGTCGCCGAACACGACCTGGCCACCATCCTCGTCGTAGAGGGTGCACTGAGACGCCTCGAAGAGCTGCAGCATCGTCGGCGGATGGATCGAGTAGGAGCCAGGTGGCGGCGTATCGATCGAGGCAGGCGTTCGCGCAGTGTCCCGCGGGCGCGAAGGTGCAGATGGAAGCACCTTGGGATCGTTGGACCTTGAGCCGCCACGCCTGACGCTCTCGGATCGGCCCGGCGCTCCCGCAGGTTCGACGGATGCCCTGGTCTTGACGCTGGCACCCTTGACCCGGTCCGAGACACGGACCTCTTCTTCAAGGCCCCAGCCGACCGATTGGATCGGGGCATGCGGCCCAGGCACAATGGCGGGGGCCGGCTTCTGCGTCGTCGCATCCTCAGCAGCGCTCTTGGGGCCGTGCGAGGGTTTCGGATGCTGGCTGCCGGCGCGAGACGGCTCCTGGGCCGGCTTTGGATCTCGGTTCAGCAGGACGGCGTTGGGAACCAAGGCTGCCGTCTTTTTCCTCTCCGCCAGCTCGCCGTCCTTGTCCTTGGTCGACAAGTCGTCAAAGACAAATTGCAGTCCTTCAATCTCGAGAAAGGACGGGACCTCGCCCGCGTCCCAGCCTCGGCGGAACTGGCCAGCGCCGCCGGTCGGGGCTGTCGAGGGCCGTTTGAGGTTGGCTCTGGACCGCGATCGACCTTTTGAGCCCGAGGCCTGCGATTCGCCGAGCGCGGACGGGGTCTTTGCCCTGGCTTGCCCATCCGATGTCTCCGTCCCTTGGTCGCCGTCCGCCGTCTCCTCGGCGACACCGCTCTTGACCTGGGCGTCCTGCCTCAGCGATGCAAAAGTCGAGCCCTTCAGCTCCGATTGTGGTGCTGCCTGGGCCGTCGAGGGCCGCACCCGGCGCATCGGCCGCCCCGATGAACTCTGTGGCTGCTTGCCCTTGGACGCCGCCGCCCGTAGCCTCTCAGCCTTCATCTCCTCCATCCGAGCTTGCGCGGCCTCCTGCGCCTTGCGCATAAAGTCAGATCCGCTGGGCGTCCGAGTGTGCGCGATCCGCTGCACCTGCGGTATCGTGGGCGTCTGATCGGGATCCTCGGATGCCCCGGCGGGGCCGACTGTGTTCGCATCGGTCGCCGCCGGCAATGCCGGAGCGGGCATCGATCTGGGTGAGACGGGCGCTGCATCGGCTGTCGAAGGCCGGCTGCTGGGCAGGTCGAAGGCTGCGCCGATCGGAGACTTGACGGATGCTGACGCCGACGTCGAGGCAAAAGACACGACGCTCGCATTGTCGTCGCGAAACTGAAGCGGGACAGGTTTTCTGCGAATCCGGTAGGTGGAGCCGGAATCTCCGGAGGCAGCCGAGCTGGCGCTCCCTCGGCGCAGCGCAGAGTCGAGGCTGGCGGGGTGTTGGGAGTGGTCCAACGCGCCGTCCGAGTGGCTACTGCCGCGCCGGTCGTAAGAGCGGCGCGGCGGCACCGCAAGCAGCTCCGACTTGACGGAGGAAGGCGACAGTAGTCCATCGGCCCTGATGGGCTGCCGTGAGGCTGCAGAGACGTCGGCATTCCCCGCCGGAACCTCGTTGGCGGCGGCGGCGTTTGCCGGTTGCTGCGCCGTTCCGGCTTCGTTTGTATCGCCTGTCCCTCCGCTGAGGTCGGCTCCGCCGACGACGCCTCCTCGGATCGCATCTGTTGGGCTCGATCCCGGACTCGTACTCGAACCCGGCCTCGCCGAAGCTTCACCCTCGCCCCTGTCCTCGGAAGTGGCGCATTCTTGGTCCTTGCTTTGGAGGAGCTCCTCCTCGAGCTCTTCCTCGGGTGAAGGCAGCGAGTCCCTGGCGCTGCTGCTCCGACGCGTGCTGTCGCGAACGATGTCGCCCTCGCTGAGCCGCTTAGCCTGCGCTAGACCGACTCCTGGCACCTCGAAGCTGGTATTGGTGAAGACGGGCAGCGTCTGGCTGTGCCTGCCATCGCCGAGGAAGCTGCTGTGCCTGCGCGAGGATGGGGCGCCGCTCGAGGGGCGCGAGACTGCCGAGAGGTAGGAATGCGACGAGTCGCTGAGCGCCTCTCCTCCGCCGCGCCGGATCCACGAGGCCCGCTTCGAAGCTGGCGCAGCTGCCGAGCCGATGGTGAGCTCGCGCAGACCGCCTGGACTGGCGCCCTCCCGACGAAGTCCGACGTCGAAGAAGGCCGGGGCCGATTCGGGCGTCTTGGGCGACGGGTACTGGTCGCTGTGGACGGGAGCGGTGCCCGGGCGTCTGCGACGTGTCCGCGGCGAGAGGCCTCCGCCGCTCAGAGGAGAGCCTGCCGCGCTCCAGGCGCTGAGGTGGCCCGTGTCGCTAAACATGCCACGCTTCTCCTGCAGCTTCTGCTCGAAGATGAGCTGGCTGCGTCGGTTGGGGATCGATGGCGGAGACCTAACAGCGGCCGCCGTGCGCCGGCTGATGCCCAGACCGACGGCTTCATTGTCGCTCATGCTCCTCGACATGTGGGGAGCGACGCCGTCGTCGTCGGCTGCGATCGCACCCATGGAAGGTGAAGCGGGCAGCCTGCGCAGGCTGAGGCCGGCCTCCATGGCGTCGTTGGGGACCACAATCTCCTCGGTGTCGATCGACTGGATGGACCAGCGCCGCGCCGCCGACGAGGTGCTCGAGCCGGATGCGAAGGGCAGCGCGTCTGCGGAGATGGGCGGCGAGGCGTCGAGCATGGGTGACCCGGAGAAGCTTGGCGAACGGAGGTAGGTGATGGTCATAGTCCTTGGCGAGGGATCCTCTGGCACTCGACGTAGCGAGGCTGTGCGCTGCAGTCCCGGTCTGGTACGGCCGACTGTCGCCGGCGCTGTCGTTCAAAGGGCGTACCAGAAGGGGGACAAGACTACTCTTGGTGCCCTTGCCAGCCGGGCCAGGCTGGAGTCGGTGGCGGTCCGGGTGCAGAGTCAGGATCGTGGCCGGTTGTGATGGTCGATGTGTCGATGGTGCCGTGCGTCGATTGCTCTAGGAAGAGATCAAGGTCTGGTGAGCCGGGTCGGGTCGATTTCGTCTGCCGACAACGCAGGCATTCGGTGCGGTGGACGACGGCGGGCGCAGTTGCTGGTGCTGATTTCGGTCGCTGCGAGGATCCAGAGAAAGAGAGAAGAGAGATAGGCAGGCTGATGTCTAAAGGGTCAAGGTGATGTTCCGATGCGCGAGCGTCGTAGAGGTCCAATGAGGAGACCGGGGCAGTGCAGAGCAGGGAATCCGACGAAGGCGAGTGCCCGTTCCAAGCAGCGAGAAGCGGTGTCGGACGTGGCGCTCTGACCGTGGTGGATGACGGGGTCCGAGGTCCGAGGCTGGTGCGAGCCAGAGTAATGATCGCCAAGCAAGAGTAATGAGCAGATGGAGCGAGGGCCCGAGGTGGGTTGATGGATGGCAACGATGAAGGGCCGGACGTGTGACGGGGCTGGTGAGCGGGCAGGTGATGGTGGTCGAGGTGTAGGCGGCAAGGTGGCTGCTCGTCATCCTACGAGGTGCGGCAGCTGGTTGCTCGATGGCGCCCTGCCTCGCTCGCTCTCTTCGGTCTGGCTTTGCCCCGCAGCCTGGACATGTGCGAGAGGCGGTCGGAGTTGGGCCAGGACGGCAGCCAGGTAGGCAGAGAGCTCGAGCAGCTTCCCAGCCCGACCAAAACGCAAGCAAGGCGGGCGAACCCCCTGCTTGCCCACCTGCCACCGGTGTGAAATCCCTGAAAAATGAAATAGTCAATCGGCTGTCTTGCCTTTTGGCTGCAAACGCCCGTCCGACGCCGGCTGCTTGGCCTGGCCTGGCCTGCCCAGCCCGGCTGCCAGATCCATGGCGGGTCTCCCCTCTCTAGCCTCGCCAGCAGAGTCTCCGACGTTCAGCTTTCCATCTCCGCGGCCGCAACCTCGGCAGCGCCTGCACCAGCCAGCCAAGGCAGGCCGCCTAATCCATCGCACCGACCTGCTGGTGCTTGCTCGTGCCGTCTCGGGGTCATCCGCCGCCCAGGCGCAGCCGCTTTGTCCACTGCCCGTTCTCTTTGCAGGTCGACGAGGCGGCGTCTGCACCAGCGCGGACAATCACGCGGGTATCGACGACGACGACGACGGCGGCGACGACGGCAGCGACGACGGCAGCGACGACGTGATGTCAAGAGAGGCACAGGCAGGCCAAGGTACCTAGAAAGGCGCCCCAACCGCTGGCTGCTTGCTTGGCATCTCGCGACCCGCACAGGCAGGCCAGGTCTAGGCGCCGGTGGTGCGCCGCCATCTGAGGCCGCTCTGTCTCGCCTCTTTGTCCGGAGCCTGTATGTCTTGCTTGCCTAGCCTAGCAGCCCTCCCGCCAGAGCCCAACGCGAGACGGATCACCCGCCGGGATCTGGAAGTCAAGTCCAAAGGCCCCGTCAGGAACGACTGCCGTCACCACCGCCGTACGGTCCTTGCTTCTGGCCTGCCAGGCCACAGGCGGCAAGGCCGGCCGACACAGCTGCCGCCTCGTCGCTCGTCTTGTCACTTGGCACTCTGCTCAGATCACGTACGCTGAGACCGTCCGGGATGGATCTCGACTCCCGGCCTCACCATTCTTTAATGGCATTCTCCGCTCACTCCATCACGATACCTTCGTCGCTCGATGACTTGCGATGAGGGTTCCAAGGCAACCTGCCATGAGAGCCCGCCGGCCTGACATTTCGCCGACAGACGATGGCCGGGTTTACCTCTTTTGGCGCTGGATCTTGACAACCGCGGCGCCTAGAGGGGAAGGACACAAGTACGCGCCTGGGATGGCAGCAGCGACGTGCAGCTAGAAGGCAGACAGGAGCAGGTGCAGCTGCTCGCTGCTTGTCGATTGCAAGGCCGCACACTCGCGCGCGCCGTCAAAACCTACCAAGCAAAGCCAGCTCTCCTCGCCGCCTCTTTCGGCAAGGAGGCGTGGGTTTTTCTTCGAAGGCGCGGCGTGGATCACACACGAAGCCTAGAAAAGAGAGGCCGGCGGGAGCACGCTGCTGAGCTCGACGTCCCTCTGGGCGCGCGCAGCGAGGAACGGCCTTCGAGGAGGCCCCCCTGCCTTGTGCCTGAAAAGCGCCCTAAGCGAGAAGAGCGCGCCTTTGTTCCAAAGCGAACGCCAGCAGACGCCGTCGGACCAGGTTGGGACCACCAGCGCACCGTACGGTGCCTAGCAGCGAGAAGCCGCTCGCCGTCTGCTCCGACCCCCTTGCACCTTGCTTGCTTGTCGCCGATCAGTTTTGGCCTAAGTTATCCTGCCTGCCTGCCTGCTCTTTCGTTAGATGTTACGGTCTCGTGCAAGCAGGCAGGTAGTAGCGGGGAGACAAGGAACGAGGATGTGCGGCCCCTTGCGCCGATCCGGGGCCCTCGACCTTTGGTCGTTGCCCTGGCAATAATAGCGGGCGCTCCAAGGTGCCCGCCGACAAGAACCGGGGCAACGGAACCGGCGTCGAATGCGGGGGCGACCAACACGTAAGCATGCCGGCACATCCGGCGACGAGTCCTGGGAGGACGACGCCTCATCCTTCCGACCAGGCTTTGTTTGTGCACCTGCGCGTCTTTGTGCAGCCTTGAATGACCCTGACCGGTGGGACCGCGGTTGGACTAGTAGTGATACTCTCCAGTGGTACCGGCGAGTGAAAAGTGAGGCGTGGTCGACGTGGTCGGAGCGTAAGATCGAGTACAAACGGGCGGACGGTCGGGCGCAAGAGACGCGCGACGGGGCTCTTCTGTCGAGGTGCTGCCGGAGCTTGCCCGAAAGCGCAGGCTAGGCTGAGCTGCTCGGGGTGCCGCCGACAACCTCGGCCTTGGCATTGTGTGGGTCGAGGTTGTATCGGGGATCGGGCGGGGCGCAGGGCCGATGCGCCAGAAAGCCAAGCTGGGCCGATGGCCTCCACACGACCCTCGGCGTCATTCCGATGAGTCAAAGGTGCCCTGCTTCCTTCCGCTCCATCATCACCTTTGCCTTCACCAATCCGGCCTCGTCCGACTCTCTTCACCATGGCGAGCCTCTCGTCGACATCTATGCAGGCTTTGCGGCTACCCTGCCGACTCAGTGCGAGTTCGGTCGTCCGACACGCATCAAGGAGCATCTCAAGCCTCGGCGCCGCTGCTCGGCCACACCGATGCCCAACCCCGCCCAGTGTCCTCTGCCGCCCTAGATCCACGTCGACCCGTATAGCTCCCTCGTTCGAGCCGCGCAGCCGCCTCTACTCGACCGCACCGGCAGGCTCTGCATCTCTGAAGGTGGCGACCGTGCCGGACCGAGGCGTGATCGAGGTCAAGGGCAGGGACACGGTAAAGCTGATCCAGGGCCTCGTCAGCAACGATGTCCGCAAACTCGAGAGGGGCGACGTCGACCTCATGCTCGCGTGCTTCGCAAATGCACAGGTACGTGACAGCATACGATGGACATGGGATCGTAAGAGAGTGACGCTGCTGACGTGGCGCCCGGCCTTTCTCCTCGGCCTTCTCTGATGGCAGGGCCGGATGCTGGCCGACGTCTTGATCCACCGCCTTCCGCCGGCCGAAGACGGGACGCCGCGATGGCTCTTCGACACCGACGCGCGCACCATGCCGTCACTGCTCTCGTTTATCAAGAAGTTCAAGCTGAGGTCTAAGGTGACGCTCAAAGACGTGTCGGACCAGTGGAGCGTCGTGCAGCTCTGGAGTGGCGCCGGAAGCGCGACGCCGCCCGCCGAGCTACTCGGAAGCAGCGAGGACCGCGTCGTCAGCCTCGACCCTAGGGCCCCGGACATGGGCTACAGGGCGGTAGTCCGCAACGGACAGGATCGTCTTTCCGCCCTTTCTGGTGCCGCCGCCGAGGTCGATGGGTCCGAATACACGGTCCACCGCATCGTCCAGGGCGTTGCCGAGGGGGCCATCGACTTCCCCGAAGCGTCCAGCGTACCCCTCGAGAACAACATCGACTACATGAACGGCGGTGAGCCCCGATCGAGTCCCAAGACAGACGGACGCACCCTCGCTTCGATGGCCTCACCTTCTGACTCGTCACCGGCTCTTTCCCTCCCCACGTCTGAATCCGCAGTCGACTTTCGCAAGGGCTGCTACGTGGGGCAAGAGCTGACGGCGCGCACGCACCACACGGGCGTGGTGCGCAAGCGCATCGTGCCTATCAGCTTCTACCTCCCCGGCACGCCCGCACCCACCTCGCTCGCAGTCGACCCATCATTTACCACCAAGCTGCCGCCCGCCCTCGCTGAGGTGCGCTCGAAACCAATCACCCCACCGCCACCGCCATCGCAGGCCAACGGCCAAGGCGGCACTGACGGCGGTGATGCGGCAGCGCCAAAGAAGCCGACCCGAGGTCGATCGGCGGGCAAATTCACGACGGGCATCTACAACCTCGGCCTCGGTTGCCTCAGACTGGAGCAGGTGGCGAGGTGGCAGGACCCCACGACGGCACAGCGCGACGGCCTCGGCGACGACGCGGTCCACTTCACCTGCGAAAACGAAGAGGGCCAGACGATCCTCGTCAAGCCGTGGATTCCACATTGGTGGCCCGAAGCGCCCAGAAGAGCCAGCGAGGGGCAGGAGAGGACGAGTAGAGAAGGGTAGGAAGTCAGGACAGTGGCGGATGGTCTGGCGTGGCATCTCTGCAGGAGATGGACGAGGCGCTGCAATCAAAGACGCCATCAATAGTCTGTCTCGCCGAGGTCGCCTATCCGTCGTCGTTGACGTGGCCGTTTCCGTCGTCGCGCGAGATGCCATCGCTACCTTGCCCGCGATGAGAATTGCCAAGGCCGTCTCCACGCTCCGCAGCCAGCGGCAGCCGCGCCCCTGACTGCCTCGCGCCCATCACTGCCGAGACGGGCCCGGCAGCCTCGTTCCTCGAGGCGAGAAAGGCCTCATTCGTCCTTCTGGCCGCCCATCGCCACATTTCGGCAATCGACAGCGAGGCGGTCGACTCGACGTCGAGGTCGCCGGTCTCGACCCCGTCGTCGCCCAGGATGCTGCTGCCCGTGCTGGCCTCGCCGGCGGCGAAGCGCGCGAACAGGAGTGCAGGGTAGTCGATCCGTGGCGCGCCGCTATCGTCGCCGTCTTCGCTTCCGCCCATGCTATCGTCATGGTCCGAGTCGCTCTCGTCCTCGTCGTCGCCGTCGTCATCAATGCCGTGTGCTTCTTCGCCATCGTCTTGTCCTTCGCTGTCGTTGCCATGTGTTCCGACCTCGGCGCCGGTCCCGTCCACGTCGTCGGCCGCCGAGACTCGATCTTGAAGAGCCTCCCGGCGGTCAGGCCGCGAATGCGTCCGCATCAGACGTGCTCGCGCCTGCTTGTACTCGTCGCCACGGCGGTCGATCTCATCGAGATCGACGTCTGGAAGTTGCGGGTCCGCTTCGAGCGCGGTCCTGAGGCCGATCGTGTACCTGCTTAGGCCGACCCACGAGGGATGCTCGATCTCGACCTCCTCCTCGTCGGACTCGGCTGCAGGCTCGGACCGTAGCTGTTGCAACGAAGCACCGGAAAGGGCGCCGATCGCATCGAGGCCGAGCCGCTGCATGGCGCGCAGTCGCAAGACGTCGCTTCGCGAAAGGCTGCCGAGCATCCTGCGAGTGGCTGATTGGCGCTCGTTCGTCGCCTGGTCACCGTCTGCCAGTTGAGCGTCGTTGGACCCGTCTGGTCGCCGTGGGCCTGCCGGGCTCTCGCTGCCGCCTCTTTTCTCGCTCTCCGCCTCGTCTTCGTAGCGGACGGCCACGGCCCTTGCCACTCGATGAAAAGATCTGTCGCCCTGCGCCCTTGTCATGAGGCGGGATGAGGGGAAGATGCGTGGGATCCGTGTCGCCTTGTTGGTGGGCGGGATCACGTCTAGGATCGGGTTGCCCTCACGCCCCTTGATCTTGAGAATTGAAGAGGAGACTTCGACCCGGTCGGCCATGGTGACTCTGGCATATCGGTTCGTCTTGGTGCGCTTCCTTCGTTTGGACCTGGGCTCCTGACCAGACTCGTCGTCGGCTGTTGAGTCGCCGACCTGACAGTCGAGACCGCAGAGCCTGCGGAGGACGTAGATGAGATCCGCCTCGGGCGGTGCTGCGTGCGGCGATGCGCTAGGCTGAGATGGGCCTGCCCCCTTTGCACCGGTGTTGAGAGCAGGCCGACAGAGGGCGGGCAGCTTGAGGAGCAAGTCGAGGAGGTCGGCCTCGACCTTGATCGTCTCCATCGCCCTGCGGCAGTGTGCGATGCCTACGCCGGCTTGAGGAAAGATCTGCGTGTCCCACAGGAGAAAGAGGGCAAAGACGACGCCGACGGCGGCCAAGGCGTCGTCGTCGCTCAGCGACGCGGCGGATTTGTTGGCCTCCTGAGAGCGGGCCAGTGGAAGGAGGCGCTCGAGAAAGACGCGCGAGATGGTCTCGCAGAAGCGTGTCTGCGTTTCGCGGTGGTCGGTGTAGGCAAAGTGGACGTAGTCCCAGCCGCCATGGATCCATGCCTGGGTAAAGACGTGAAAGGGCGAGGCACGCTGGTCGGCCTCTGCGCCGCCGTCGTTTGCGGGGCCGCGTGCGAGCCAGCGCCGCGCAAAATCGCTCAGCAATGCGGCGACGTCGAGCCTGAGTGGCTCGACAAAGGTTGCGTCGTGGGCCAAGCCGATGAGGGACACGGGGAGCAGGACAAGGTTGCGGACGAGCAAGGGCTGGGCATGGAGAGGCGGCGAGGCGAGTCGCTCGTCTCCGGTGCGCCTCTTGCGGCTGGTCATGGCTCTGGCCCGCCGCCCGATTCACGGGAAAGGACGACGGCGACGACGACGACGACTGCGGCTGGGGCAGTTTGCTGCGGCTGCGGTCGTGGCGGGGAGGACGTTACAGAAGGGGCCGGGCTGGGTGGCGAGGTGGCGTCGACGTCCTGACCGGCGGCCTGTCCAAGCCTGCTGGCCTGACGCGTTTGACCTGGCCAGGCCTGCCTGCCTCTTTCCGGAAAAGGGCACAGGCGGTCCCTTTGTCGAGCTGGTCCGCGCGCCCGCGAGCTGGGCCAGGCAGGGGAAAAGGGCCCTCTAGCCCTGGCTGGCAGGGCCAGGCCTGGACGCCAGGCAGGAGGCAACCGTGCGTCACGCGGCACGCGCCCGCGAAATGGCCTGCTGGGTTCGACTGGCCTCGCCTGCCTGCCTGGACTGGCTAGGCTCGACTGGGGACTGGGCTGGATTGACCGGCCAAGGTGCAAAATGCGGCGCGAGTGCGAGCAGCTCGTCGCCCTCGTCGATCCATCCGCGTCAGGTCAAACAGAGACCAAGGTCCCTCCTCCGCCTCGTCACTCCTCCACGCCACCGTCTACCACCTTCGATCCTTTATCCACCCATCCATCCACCCTCCAGCATCTCGTCGACTCTGGCCTACCTAGCACCGAAGCTCGCGCCTCCTCTCCCCTCTTCTCGCTTCGCACCGATCGCAATGTTCCCGCTCGCCCTCCTCACGAGGGCTGCAACCCGACCCCTCTCGGCGCAGCTACCGAGCCTCGCCCGTGCCGTCTCGCTCCCGCGCGCCACCGCATCCTTTGCCACCGCCGCCACAAAGACGGCCACCCGTGCCTCGGCTTCCTCGAGCTCCACCCCCAAGCCCAAGCGGGCCGCCTCGAAAAAGGCCGCAGGCTCCTCTACCAAGAAGGCTGCCACCAAGAAGCCCAAGGCCGCCCCCAAGAAGAAGGCGCCCAAGAAGGAGCCCAAGCTCAAGCCCTGGCAAGCCCGCGGTGCCGATGGAAAGCTCCGTGAGTCGATGCCGTGTGCCCTCGCGTCGAGTGCGCAGCGCGTGCCAACGTCAACGCTGACCGTCATGGCCTCGTCCCCGACCCCGTCCCTTTGCCTTTGCCTGCGCGCCCCCAGTCCCGCTGCCCTCGGCGACCAAGCCCACGCTCCGGTCCACCTTCATCATCTACATGGCCGAGCGCCTGCCCACCTTTATGAACAAGCCCGAGTTCTCCAAGCCCAGCGCCAGGAGCGACAAGCCCGTGCTCGACATCATCAAGGCCTCGAAGCAGATCGGCGAGGAGTGGAAGTCGCTGCCCGCCTCGGACAAGAAGGTGAGACTTTCCGGTGCCGCCTCGTAGTCTATCTCTCCGCTGCCCTGGACGTCGCTGAACCCCCCTTGGCTTCCCTGCCTCGCTTCCTGCCTTGTCCCTGACAGAAATACGAGGACATCCACGAGAAGGAAAAGGCCGAGTACACCAAGGCCCTCGCCCACTGGAAAGCCTCGCTGACGCCCGAGGACATCAGGCGCCAGAACGCCTACATCTCGGCCCAGCGCAAGAAGGGCATCAAGGGCACCGCGCTCCTGCGCGACCCCGCCAAGCCCAAGCGACCCAACTCGGCCTTCTTCGAGTACCTCGCCGAGCTGCGAGCGCAGGACTCGACCGGCGCCAGCGCCACCGAGATCGCCAGGAAGGGCGGAGAGAAGTGGAAGTCGATGAGCCCATCGTCCAGGGCGCCCTACGAGCAGAAGGCCGCCGGCGCACTCGAGCAGTACAAGAAGGACCTCGACGACTACGTCCGCGCCAAGGAGGCACAGCTCTAGGCCGCCCGTCGACGCGCTCAGCGGCGATGAAAGAAGGTGGTTCCGGAGGGCACGCATCGTTGCAGCGCGCCCGAGGTCATCTCTTGGCCGCGTCGGTGTCGAGTTCGGGACCGACTTGTGGAAAGCGGTAGCTATCAGCTGGTCCTGGCGGAGGTCGCCATCAATCTATTTCACTACTCGTACTGTGTCTGTCCCGTCTGCCGTGTTCGCCCCGGCATGAATCATCAGCTCGAAGCGCGGCAGCGAACCCTCGATGCTTCCGGGGTCATCAGGCGGAGGGCATGGGGATTGCCACGCACGCCAAGCAGCCCCTTTCTCGCTTTCTCTCTTTTCTCCAATCCATTTCAGGAAAAATCAAGCACAACAGCGCGATGAGACGTCACAGCAAGCGAGGCGGGGGCGGGAGCGAGGGGCCGATCAGATCCTGCTCCGGGCGGAAGCAGCGGGGCGCTGGCGGTCGTCGTCGGCTAGTCACTTTGCGTTGTTGAGGTAGAACTTGAGCAGGCCGCTGGTGCTCGAGTCGTGGCCGGCTCCGTCGACCTTGGAGGCGTCCTTGGCCTGGAGGAGGGGCAGGATCTTCTTGGCGAGCACCTTGCCCAGCTCGACGCCCATCTGGTCGTACGAGTTGATGCTCCAGATGAAGCCCTGCACGGCAATCTTGTGCTCGTACAGCGCAATCAGGGCGCCCAGCGCGGCCGGCGTAATCTTCTGCAGCATAATCGAGTTGGTGGGTCGGTTGCCCTCAAACACCTTGGACTTGACCAGGAACTCGTTGGACGCCTGGGCGCCCAGCTCGGCGCGCACCTCGTCCTCGGACTTGCCGAAAGCCAGCGCCTCGGGCTGCGCAAAGAAGTTGGACAGCAGGATCTCGTGGTGCTCGCCGACGCGGTTGTGCGTCTCGACGGGCGCGATAAAGTCGCACGGGATGAGCTTGGTGCCCTGGTGGATCAGCTGGTAGAAGGCGTGCTGGCCGTTGGTGCCCGCCTGACCCCAGATAATCGGGCCAGTGTGGTAGTTGACCCGCTCCGAGTTCTTGGTGATGAACTTGCCGTTCGACTCCATGTCGCCCTGCAGCGCGGCAGAGCAGCGCGGCAAAAGTAGAGCGGAGCAGAGCAGAGAGGGCGGCGTCAGCGGTCAGATCCAGCTCAGAGCCCATCTGCCTGCGCGCAGACTCACCTGCTGGAAGTAGTCGGCAAACTTGTGCATGTACTGGTCGTACGGGAGGATGGCCTGGGTCTCGGAGCCAAAGAAGTCGTTGTACCTGGAGGCGAGGAGGAGCACGGCGGTGGAGAGAGATGGGCAGCACTGGTCAGTCGCACTTCCGGCTGGACCACACATTGCAACCCCCGCAGGGCGGCCACTCACCAGATGCCGATCAGGGCGAGGATGACGGGGAGGTTGTCCTTGAGCTCGGCGTTCTTGAAATGGAGGTCCATCTGGTGGGCGCCGCGGAGAAGCTCCTCGAAGCGCTCGTAGCCGATGACGAGGGCGATGCTGAGGCCGATGGCGCTCCAGAGCGAGTAGCGGCCTCCGACCCAGTCCCAGAACTTGAACATGTTTTCCTGTGCGATGCCAAAGTCGGTGGCGGCCTTGACGTTGGTGCTGAGGGCGACAAAGTGCTTGGCGACGTGCGCCTTGTCCTTGGCGGCCTCGAGGAACCAGTCGCGCGCCGTCGTGGCGTTGGTGATGGTCTCCTGGGTGGTGAACGTCTTGGAGGCGACGATGAAGAGGGTCGTCTCGGGGTCGCAGACGCGCAGCGTCTCGGCCATGTGGGTGCCGTCGATGTTGGAGACAAAGTGGGCGTCGAGGTCGCGCTTGGCGTAGGGCTTGAGGGCCTCGGTGACCATGACGGGGCCGAGGTCGGATCCGCCGATGCCGATGTTGACGATGCTCTTGATGGGCTTGCCCGTATAGCCCTTCCACTCGCCGGAGCGGACGGCGTCCGAGAAGCGCTTCATGTGCTCGAGCTCGGGCTTGACCTCGTCGACGCCGGCCTCGTTGATCTTGAACTCACCCTCGACGTCACGGAGGGCGACGTGAAGGACGGCGCGGTCCTCGGACGTGTTGATGTGGTCGCCGGCAAACATCTGGTCGATCTGCTTCTTGACCTCGGCCTCCTGGGCGAGCGAGAGGAGCTGGTTGAAGATCTCATCGTCGATGAGGTTCTTGGAAAAGTCGAGCAGGATGCGGGCGTCGACCTTGTCCGACTTCCACTCGCGAGAGTAGGTGTCGAAGCGGCTGGCGTCGGCCTTGAAGGCCTGGGTGAGGTTGTACTGCTTGCCCTTGGACTCGTACAGCTGCTGCAGCTTCTGCCACGACGGCTGGGCGGAGGCGAGCTTGTGGGCCATGTTGGGCGAGGGTCAGGTGGGAGGAGGTGGTGGAGCGAAGAAGGTGCGAGAGGGGTGCTGGCAAGGGGGGCCGATGACGGTGATGGTGTGGAAGAGGGAAGGGGCGAGGGGGAGGTGTGAGAGCGAGAAGGAATGATGAGTGGGTGGGGGAGGCGGCAGGCTGGAAGATGCCGCCCGGCGGCGCTGGGCAGATCGATTTCGACGGACTTGGCTTGGGCTTGGGGCGCCCAAGGGTTCGCGGCTTGGCCCGTGTGTCGACTCGAGGTGCACACGGTCCGACCGCCGTGTCGTCAGTTCGGCCACCGGCGAGGCGGAGCAACAGTCAGCGCGCACACGCACGCCGCTCCGCTGCCCGCCTTCCCCTCGCCCCGCCTTTGATCTTATCGCGGGACGGCAATCTTTGTGAGTCGTTTCCCGCGATGTGCTTTCGGCGGTTGTCCGAGATGTACGTGTCGCTCCTCGTCTCTGTGGCTCTCGCGAAGCAGCACCATTCTGGCTCGTTCCGCTTCGGGAGGATTCGAAGAAGAAGCAGGAGGGCGGGCGAGCGAGCGAGCGAACGGCGACCAGGCAAGCCGGTAGAGAGAGGATCTAGACGACGGAAGAGCCGGCGGCGGATTCGGACCGCCTCCGATGGCCAGCCGGCCTGGCCAACAAAGAAGGCAGGCGGCAGGTGATCGGACCGTGCCGCCCAATTTTTGAGCTCGGCGCGGTTGGAGGACCCTGGGCTGCCTTGCCTGGCCAGGCCATTCGACCGTGACCACGACTGCGACTCCATTCCACCCCTCCCTCGTTCGCCTACTCCATTCATCGCCCTCCCCTTCCTTCCCTCCCCGCCATCATGTCGAGCAGGTGGGATAGCCAGCCCGCCGACGGCAAGGCAGATGCGGCCGCTGCAGGTGAGTACCGCTACGTGAAGCACCACGGCAGCGACGGAGCTCGACTCGCAAGGCTGACTCTTCCTGCTGTCGCCCGCCTTGTTTGTTGCCTCTTGACCCACGCCTCTGTCTTCGCTTCCATCGCAGCCGCTGCTGCCGCTGCCAAGATCGCTGCGCAGTTCGCCCCTCCTCCTGGCGCATCTCCTGGAGGCGCCCATGGCGACGGTCGAAGGCCTCCCGGTCGCGAACACTCGGATGGCCCTCGGGAACGCAGGGTTGGCGACCCGCACGATGCCGAGTTCACCCACGACATCGAGATCAACGACCAACGCAATCGCTACATGCTCACAAAGGGTCAGACCCAGCAGATGGTCCACAAGGAGACCGGCGCCGTCGTCACCACAAAGGGTCTCTGGTACCCGGACAAGAGCCTCGCCACCGCAGAGAATCCGCCCCTCTACCTTCACATCAGCGCATCCACAAAGGAGATCCTCGATGCCGCCATCAAGCGCCTCGAGGAGCTCATGGCGCAGGAGGTGCCCCAGCTGGTCGAGGACCGCCACCAGCGCAGGCTCGACTACGAGGCGCAGCGGCCCCCACCGCGCGAGCGCACGAGGTGGCCCGAGGAGAAGCTGCCCATCAACCTCGAGCCGCTGCGCAACTTCAACGTGCGCTCCAAGATCGTGGGCCCGGGTGGCATGTTTGTCAAGTACATCCAAAGCGAGACGGGCACTCGCGTCCAGATCAAGGGCCTCGGGTCGGGATTCATCGAGACCGACACGGGTCGCGAGGCCGACGAGCCGATGCACATCAACGTCGCGTGAGTAGACGTGCCGGCCGCGCGCACACTCGGACAGACCGACGACCACGAGCGCTGACCCCTCCAACTACGCCTTTCCTCGCCTTTGTGCTCGCTGGTTGCGCGCAGCGGACCGAGCGACGAACAGATCAAGGCAGCCATGGCCCTGGCGGAAGACCTGTTGGACGCCGTCAAGACCGAATGGGCCAAGGCCCGCGACGCGCTGGGCGGCGGCGGACCCGGAGGCTTTGGGCCACCTGGACCAGGAGGGCCGAGGGGCTACGGGCCCGGGCCCGGCGCGGGTTCGTACGGTCCTCCGGGCGGGCCCGGCGGATACGGGCCTAACGGCTGGGGAGGAGGGCCGCAGCAGGGCCAGTGGGACCAGGGCTACGGCGGCGGTGCTCAACCGCCCATGCCAGATGGCAACCCGCCACCGCCGCCGCCTCCCGAGGATGAAGCGCCGCCTCCACCGCCTTCAGACGGCTACGGGCAGCCGGCATCAGCGTCCGGGTATGGTACGGACCCCAGGGGGCGGCAGGATGCCTATGCCTCGCGTACGGGCCACGCCGGTGCAGCGGCGGCGAGCCCTTCGAGACCCGCTGCCACCGCTGCCGCCGCCGCTATACCGGCGCTGAGCCCCGAGGAGGAGCAGCTGGAAAAGTACTGGAAGGAGTACATTTCCTGGGAGGACAGCTTTGTGGCCTACCACAACCGCAAGCCGACCAAGGACGAGGGCGCGCAGGACGTCCCCGACAAGTACCGCAAGAAGTAGCTGCTTCCGTCGGGCCGGCAGCCTGCCGCCGTCGAGCCGTCGCTGCGCTCGTCGCCTGTACTTGTACCATGTCGAACCCATCGTCGTCTTTCTTGTGCTCGTAGACGAGCGACCGCCGCCGACTGGGCCGCAGCGAGGCAGGAGGGCCTGCACGAGGAGTCGCAAGATGCTCGATAGAGCAGCGCCTGGCATCGCATGGATGGCTGACGCACGTCGAGAGGCAGGCAATCGATGCCATCGTCGCATCTAGCTGGTGACCAGGCTTGGATTGCGATGGCAACGAGGCCTCCCTCGTCTGACTGGCCGTCGGCATGGCCGCTCGGCTTATCGCCGTGATCCGCCCACCTCCTCCACTTCGGGGGGCGCGGCCAAATTCGCATCGGACGGTCCGAAGAAGGACCGGGTTGCGGGCGGGCGACAAAAGGGCTGAGGGCCATTACCCTTCAGGCGTTGGGCGCCAGGCAGGCAGGCAGGCCATGTGAGCGGGGCCCGGGGCCCAAGGCCAGAGGCAGAGGCAGAGGCAGGAGCAGAGGCTAGGATCCGACTGGGGACCCTGGTTAGCCTCGATTTCCATCCTTCTTGGCCCCCCCGGCCGGCCTTGCTGCCTAGACTGCTGCTGGTGCCGCCTCCCGAGGAAGATCCCCCGCGATCCTCCGTGTCCCCCCTTCCTCCCTCTGCACCTTCACCTATCTCTTTTTGTCATCCTCGCCTACTCTCCTTACGCCTGGGCGTCTGCTGCTTGCTCATCTGCATCCCTGCCGGCGTCGTTCCTCCGTTCGCGACTTTTCCCAGGTCGACTCGCCCACTTTCTTTCGACAATCTCGACAGCGACAGCAGCAGCAGCAGCGTCGTTGGGCCGCAATCCTCTCTCCTCGCTACCGCCGCAGGCCCTTGCACAACTGATTCCGTCTCCTTATAGCACAGCCGCTCACCGATATGGGACTTCTCTCGCTGGGCACGCCGCTCGACTGGCCGTCCGCGCGGCCACTCGCCCCGCACGTCCGCAAGCACGGCATCGAGCAGTTCCTCGCCCTCTGGAACAAGATCAAGGACCGACGGGGCGACATCCTCCTCTGGGGTGACGAGATCGAGTACATTGTCGTCGCGTTCGACGACGAGACGAAGAATGCAAAGCTCTCGCTCCGTCAGGAGGAGATTCTCAAGGTGCTCAGCCAGAGCGACCACGAGACCCGCGAAGCCGCGCCCGGCCTCGCCAGCCAGATCCCCACCTTCCACCCCGAGTACGGCAGGTTCATGCTCGAGAGCACTCCGGGAAGCCCCTATGGCGCCAGCCCAAAGGAGCTGCGCGGCGTCGAACGCAACATGCGCCTGCGGAGGCAGATTGCCCGCTCCCACCTCAAGCCAAACGAGCTCCCCATCACCCTTACCTCGTTCCCTCGCCTCGGCGTCACCGACGCGCCCTTCACCGAGCCCCACTTTGAGGCCAACGGCAACGCCAGCAGGTCCATGTTCCTTCCAGACCAGATCATCAACCCGCACGCCCGCTTCCCCACGCTCACCGCCAACATCCGCAAGCGTCGCGGCTCCAAGGTCGCCATCAACATGCCCATCTTCAAGGACGTCAACACGCCCAGCCCATTCATCGACCCCTCGATTCCCTGGGACCGCGACTTCTTCCCCGAGGACCGCGAGGCCAAGGCGGGCGCGGCCAAGCCCGACCACATCTACATGGACGCCATGGGGTTCGGCATGGGGTGCTGCTGCCTGCAGGTCACCTTCCAGGCCTGCTCGGTGCAGGAGGCGAGGACCGTCTACGACCAGCTGATCCCCGTCGGGCCGCTGATGCTGGCGCTGACGGCCGCCTCGCCGGCATACCGCGGCTACCTGGCCGACGTCGATTGCCGCTGGAACGTGATCTCGGCTGCCGTCGACGACCGGACACCGCAGGAAAGGGACGAGAAGCCCCTCCCTCTCGACGGCCACACGCCGCGGGGCGGGCTGGACCGCGACTCGATCCGCATGCAGAAGAGCCGCTACGACTCGGTCGACTCGTACATCTCGCAGGACCCCTTGAACCGCAAAGAGTACAACGACAACCCGCTGCCAGTCAACGAGGAGCTGCGGCAGCATCTGCTCGACTCGGGCGTCGACGAGCTGCTGGCCAACCACCTCTCGCATCTCTTCATCCGCGACCCGCTCGTCGTCTTTTCCGAGATGGTCGACCAGGACGACAACCTCTCGACCGACCACTTTGAAAACCTGCAATCCACCAACTGGCAGACGATGCGCTTCAAGCCGCCACCGCCGGGCGGCCAGATTGGCTGGCGCGTCGAGTTCCGCAGCATGGAGGTCCAGATCACCGACTTTGAGAATGCGGCGTTCAGCGTCTTTATCGTGCTGCTAACGCGCGCCATCCTCAGCTTCGGTCTCAACTTCTACATGCCCATCTCCAAGGTCGACGAGAACATGGACCGGGCGCACCGGCGAGATGCCGTCAACACGGAAAAGTTCTTCTTCCGCAAGGAGGTCTACCGGACGCGGAACCGGCACCACTCGCGGGCGAGCTCGGCCGAGGGCCAGTATGGCGACATCCGCTCCAGGTCGGCCTCGCGGACGGGGTCGGGGCGCGCCACGCCGATCAATGGCCATAGCAACGGCGCAGCGGGCGCCGACCGGTTCGGCGCACTGGCCGAAAACTGGCCGCCGGTCGAGGACGAGTATGCCGAGTACTCGATGGACGAGCTGATCAACGGCAAGGTGCGTCTAGCAGCGGGGCCTGCGACGGTGGCAATGGCGCTGGAGCTCGCTGGCTGACTGAGCGAACTCGCCTTTGCTCTTCTTTTCTCCTCTTTTCTCCCCGTCTCGGCAGGGTGACGAGTTCCCTGGCCTGCTCACGCTCATCTACAACTATCTCGACTCGCTCAACATTGACGTCGAGACGCGGTGCGAGATGGGCCTGTACCTGGAGCTGGTGGGAGCGCGGGCCAACGGATCGCTCATGACGACGGCCACCTGGATCCGCCAGTTTGTGCAGAGCCATCCAGAGTACAAGAAGGACTCGGTCGTGTCGCAGAGGATCAACTACGACGTGAGTGGGGCTCGGCGCCGGCGCACAGCCTCCGGTCGATGCGTGGTTTGCGACCTTTGGCTGACTTTCTTGCTCCTTCTTCGTCCCTTATTGCCGTCGAACCGGCAACAGATGATCAAGAAGCTCGACGAGATTGAGCGGGGCGTGGTGGATGCGCCGGGCTTCCTGCCGGCCGGATACGCGCGGCGGCGGACCAGCCAGGAGACGCAGCCGGAGCTGGGAGCGTAGCTGCGGGCCCAATCATGCATGGCCATAACCTCTGTATCTTCTAACGCAGCATGGCCGCTTATTCCTAGACGCGTGGACCGAAGCCTCTGGCAGCCAGCAATGAGGGGGGGATCTCGACGACCTCGCAGCATGCTCGTGGGATGTGCGAGGGAGAGCGGGGGGGGGGGGGGGGGGGGGGCATGTCGGCCGTGCGAGAGGAGGCTTGCCGCAAAGCCATGACGCCGACGCGCAGCCGAGCTGACATCAAGGGTCCGCCGCTGCTTGCTCCGGATGTGGAGCAACGAGGGTCCCGTCCGATGGATGGCCGTCCAGGAGTCAAAGCCAGCAGCTCCCTGGGCCGCTGGCTGGCCTGATAGGGCATCGTGAAAGCCTCGACCGCTCTCACCTCTGGCCTCGACCACCACTCCGTTCGCTCCTACCGCGTGCCTCCATCCCCTCGCCTAGCTCACCTGCCATCCAACCCCGGCCCCTCATTGACGCACCATGGCGCCCTCTCTCCGCATCTCGGCGGGACCCTCGGTCGATTCGCTCTCGACGGTGGCCGTCAACCACGACGACTCGCCCCTCAGCATCTCGACGTCCAACTTCCAGGGCCGCCTGACGGTGCGCATCAAGAACTTTTCGGGCGAGCAGCCGTCGGGCGCATCGGCGCAGGCCGACTCGGCCTACTTCAACGGCGGCCTGGGCAAAGGGTGTTCGTGGTCGATGCAGATCCAGGGACGCTTCCTCTCGCCCTCGCCCATTTCGAGCGACGACCTCGTCTTTGGCAACGAGTTTGACCGCCCCATCAAGGACCACCTGCCCTACGGCACCGGGCTCGCCCTCCAGTTTGCCAAGGTCATCGACCCCAACCTCCAGCACGACCTGTACGCCGAAAAGCCCTGGGCCTTTTCGCCCTACATTGCCACCATGGGCCGCGTAGCCACCGCCCGCCTCGCCGCCGACAAGGCCGAGGGCAAGGACGGCTTTGATGGCTGGCCCGCCTTCCCCTCTGCCGAATCCGACACCGGGCCGCGGTACCTCGACGAGGACGTCACCTCGCTCTTCTACACGGCCGACGGCAAGCTCGACACGGCCATCGAGCCCGACGAGGACGCCGTCAAGAACCTCCGCGGCGGCGAGGCCGGCATCGAAAAGGCCCACGACTACCGCAAACGCTGGTTTGGCAACAAGGCCCACCGCCAAAAGTGCCCCGTCACCAGCGACCAAGTCGTCACGGCCGACTTTTTCAACGGCTTCATCGACTTCAACGACCTCACCCTGCACATCCCCTTTAGCGGCGGCCTCAGCTTTGACCGTAAGTCGTCGTTCTCCCCTCGCACCAGCAGCGTCGCATCGTCGACTGACCGATGAGGCCTGATAATCCCTATACCCACCCTCTGCGGCCACAGTGAAAAAGTACTGGGACGGCCAGCCGGTGCGGTACGTGTGCAAGGACCAGAAGTCCGGCACCGTCTTTTTCGTCATCCAGTGAGTCTTCGTGCGGCGCTAGGCCTGGCAGCGGTAGGCAGCGGCAGCTGATGCCTTTCCCCGCCCACCGTCTCTTCGAATCCGCCCCTTTTCCCTTGCAGGTTCGACATCACCGATCTCGACCAATAGTCGGCCGATCCACCCCCTCTTTGCCGTTATTAGAACACTCGCACCGTAGCTTCGCGCTTCTGCAATACACGGAACCCCGGGCAGCCCCTGTTTGAAAGTCCTACCTAGCTCGCCATGCGCAGTCGATCCAGACGGAGGTTGAAGACACTCGAACGGGATCCCATTCCAAAAAGATCGAACGAGGTCTAGCCGCGACAAGGGGAGATTGAGGGAGGAGGATGACGGAGAGGGTTTTGGAGCAAAAGGGGGCGGGAAAACTACGTGAAACCGTTACGACGAGGCAAATACGATCGCGGCTTGAGATCTCACGATCAGGCAAGCGGCGATCTCGAAAGAAGAAGCAGAGGAAATGGGAAGGGGGAAAGAGGGCTGTAGCTATGTAGAAAGACGTGGATGACAGAAAGAGTCCGTGATTTGAGACGCGCCGGTGCCTTGAAGCCGAGACGACCGCGACCGATGCTTGTTGCGGGCAGACGAGTGCCGTGCCTTGCCACGTCGCTGGGCCATCGTCCGCGCCTCAGCATAGCCCACGAGAAGAGCCATGCAAACATCGCCATGCACCCCGCTAGGACGCCATCATGCCCTCTAAGGAGGGGGGGTGGTGCCCGAGCTGCCGTCAGCCGGGGGCGTCGTGGTGTCAGCGGGAGGGGTGGTGGTGTCAGCCGGAGGAGTGGTGGTGTCGGCAGGAGGAGTGGTGGTGTCAGCCGGCGGCGTCGTGGTGTCAGCCGGAGGCGTCGTGGTGTCAGCGGGAGGGGTGGTGGTGTCAGCCGGAGGAGTGGTAGTGTCAGCCGGCGGCGTCGTGGTGTCAGCCGGTGGCGTCGTGG